TCTCAGTGCTCGTCTCTCGAATGGAGAAGTATTTTTGCCCATTCTCCAAAGGAGACTTGGCAGCGGAGGAAAATTAAGGGACTTGTTGAAAACCATATGGGAAATGAATAACAAACTTCCACTTGCTACATTTCTGCCTGTGATTACTTAAGACAGGATGAGTCTCAGGATGTGAACATTAAGGGCTCCACAGCTGCCAACCTTTTAGAGAGGTTTCCGCCGCAGAACCGTTTGGACTCTTGGGCTGTTTATTTTTAGAACAGCTTGTCTATTTGTTAGTTCATTCATTCAGAATACAAAAATATTGCGTGCTGCCACCCTCTAGGCACTGTGCAGGCAGGCATCTAACTCAGAGCAATGAAGAAGCCCGCCACAGTTCTTGCCCTCACAGGGCTTCCGGTGGGCTAGACCATTGGAAACCTTGAAACAATTAGTTCTAAGGCTGGGTAGCCAAACAGAATATGCGTAGGGGCTGTGTAAACAGTGTGGGTGGACACTGGCGGGGGAGGGGAACCTGCAGCCTGCCTGTGGGGTGAGATGCTCCCTGCTCCAGTGGGTTGTAGCCCCGTAATAGACCGCCCACTTGCTGCCACATCTGGGTCTTTCCATTTTAAAACAAACAAACAAACAAACAGATTCTAGGTATAGCAACACATGCCTACAATCCACCACTCAGGGTGCACAGGCAGGAGGGTTGCCATAAGTTCAAGACCAGCTTAGGCTATAGAAAAAGACCCTATCTAAAAAAAAAGAAAGAAAGAAAGAAAGAAAGAAAGAAAGAAAGAAAGAAAGAAAGAAAAAGAAAAAGTTATGTGAATTATCTGGATTTTTCAAGAGTTGGCTTACAAAGTGAGATTTTTTTTTTTTTTTAAACAGTGTGAGCCAAAAGTGTCCAGGCCAAACAAAACACATCTGTGGGTTGGGCTGATCCCAAGACTGCAAGTGTATGACTTCTGTTCTAGAAATTTGAGCAGTAAAACAGTTTCGGGTTTAAAATGTATTCTATAGCAGTTTCTAAGTGTGGAAATAGGGTCAGGGAACTTCTAGGAAGTCGTCGACAGCCAGTGTGTGCAGTGTTCTATCCACTCCAGAAGAAGTGTGGTACCAGGTTCAAAGGGAAGGTGAATGGGCAGATGAGAAGAGAAGAGACCAGGGAATGTAAATGGATCAGATGCTGCCGAGGCTGTTCAGGCCAGAGAGAGTGGACTAAGACTTACAGGGCTGCTGTACTAACACCAGCAGGACACCAGCATAGACTCTGGAGGTGTGCCCATCCTATGAGGCAGGTAGTGGTGAGCGAACCCCACATAAAGCAGAGGTCCTCAAAGAGCTCAGAAGATTGGAATGACATGCTGTCTGTCCCAGGCTTGAACAGGAACAGAAATCTCTTCTGGAAGAGTCTCAGTCATGAAGTTTGCTCCTCATGCAAGTGTGGTTTTTAGTCTTCCTGTAATTGAACCCCGAGACTGAGAAACTGATGTAAACAGTTCACCCAAGACCCATAGAATTTCAAGAGTCCTGAAAAGAAAAACACAAAGCAAGTCCACAGCCAGGATTCACAACATGCAGCACCCCTGGAAGGAGACCCCAAAACTTGCATACATACGGCCAACGCTAAGTGGACTCATAGGGTTTTTAATGTGCATGTGTGTAAAACAATAGTAAGTAATTCTAGGAAAAGCAGTCATGAATTTGGGAGGGGGTTTGGGATTCATGGGAGGAGTTGGAGGGAAAGAGGGTAGAGCAGAAACTGTGTAAACATAGTACTCATATATTAAATTCTCAGATTTTTAAATTTTAAAAAATGGCTAGCCTAGAAACAATCCTGAAACATTAGAGTCACAGGAAGTTAATCAATGAAGGGGAAGTCAGAAGACAACAAATTGGAGAATTCATTCCAAGAATATGACAATCAGAAGGAATTTTAATAAGTATGACTAAAATGAGTAATAAGCCAAAGGAGGAATTTAAAACAGAGGATTTCAAAAATAAGGATATTGTCAAAAAGAAGATATGTTTGAAAATGCACAGCCTAGGTCTTTAGTAGTAGATGATCCTGCAAACATTGAAGCAGACAGAAGATACATGGTGTGGGAAATATAACTGCAGAGACAATTAGTAAAGTGGAAGATAGATCCCAGGGAACCGTGAAAGTTTAAACACTCAGAGAAAGACACAAAGTGTGAAGACAACAAAAACAAAAAACGAAACTAACAAAGTTGTAGACGGATGGAGGTTTGAATGATAAATATCTATTGGGTAATCAGTAGGAATTCTAGAACGGCAGAGAACTCCCATTCAGAGACTGGGAAGGGACCAAAATAACAATGGGTTAGAAAGAAGCAAAGAACACTGTCAACTTAGATTCTTACAACATTCCAGCTACATGAAGAGGGGGGTAGACTATTTACAGATAAAACCTGAGAAATATTGTTAGCCTCATGAAAGAACAATGAGACTCATTAAAGAGTGTGACTCCAGGCAGGAGAAGGTGTAGGGGCCAATGAACAGGAAACGGGCAAATGGGAGGCGTCTGTTTCATAAACGTACAAAGCACTGCTCATAGAGACTAGCTGGGATTTTTAAAGCATGCAAACAGCAACAAGAAAACATGGAGTCTGGAGTGGCTTTAAGAGTCCCATTTCTCAGAATGGAGCTTGGGACTCTGGTTTCTTCAGATGAATCTTCTAGGACACCAATTCTTTTTTTTGGGGGGGGGTCCAGTTGTGTATAATAAAACTGAAAACCAATGTTAATGAACAGAAAAAAGAATTATGGGAAATAAAATAGTAAGTATATAGAGTTTTCTTAATCTAATTAAAAGCAAGAGAAAGGCCGAAAGAAAAACAAAAAAAGAAAGCTAGTGAGAAGAGGAAATAAGCCTGGGTATATATATATTAATTACACCAAAAAGAGCTAGACACTTGCTATCAAGAAGAGATGCACATAAAACCTAATTAAAGCCATGTGCAATAGCCATCAAAGAAACAGGAATAGCTCTGGGCTGGAGAGATGTCTCTGTGGTCAAGAGTGCTTCCTGTTCTCCCAGAGAACTTCCCAGTTCCATTTCCGAGAGCCCATGTCAGGTGGCTCATAATGGCTCGTAAACCCAGCTTCAGGAGAGCCAGTGTCCTCTCTGGTTTCTCTTGGCACCTACATGTACATGCGGCATCACTCTCCTGCACATAGATACATAAATAAAAATAAACCTCAAAAATATGAATAGGGGCCTGAGAGATATGACCCTGTGGGCGAAGGATCTGCCACTTGATCTGAAAATCTGAATTTCATTCCTGGGACCCACACAGTGGGAAGAAACCACCAGCTCCCCAAAGTTGTTCTCTGACCTTCACCCACATGTCCTGGCATGCATCCCTTCACACATACTCACGTGCACACCCACAGAATAAACAAATGAAATGTAACAGGAGAAAACTTAATAACATGAAAGATTTTCTGTTTTTGCTTGCTGATATACTGATATACATATGAGGTCAAGTGTTAAACTACTTTGCAACCTGAAACAAATCTTACCTGATTGTCTTTTTCTTTCTGGTGAGGACATGGTGTGGCAGAGTTGCTGTGGGAGGCAGCCTGGTACTACCTAAAAAAGGTTAAACAGCACCATGCGGTCCGGCATTCCACACACAGCGCATGCTCGGCAGAGTGGAAATCAATGCCCACCAAAGCAAATGTGTACATGGGTGTTCGTGGCAGTATGGTTTATAATAACCCAGAGTGGACGGCTCAGGTGTGTAGCCAGAGACAGATAAGCTAAATGTGCTCTACCCTACAGTGGAGTATCGCTGAGCCACAAAACAGGATGAGGAACTGATTCAGGCTGCAACTGTGGATGAACATAAGCCAAATACAAGCGGCGGAGTCAGGAGGCTGCTGTGGCCTGGTCCTGCTCATACAGAGAGATCAGAACAGCCACAGCCACAGAAACCCAGCAGATCATGGGATGGCAAAGCGAGGGAGAAGCCGGAAGTGACTGTTAATGGGAACAGGGTTTCCTTTTGCAGGGATGACAAACTCATACAATTAGACAGATGTCATGGCTGCACACTTAGTAAACATACTAACACCTGTGGAAGTGTACACTTTGAAAGTGGGGTGGGTGTTTGGGGGGTGTTTGTTTAGGTGCGTGGGGTGAGGTGGGGTGGGGTGAGGTGGGGTGGGGTGAGGTAGGGTGGGGTGAGGTGGGGTGTTTAGGTGGGTGGGGTGAGGTGGGGTGGGGTGAGGTAGGGTGGGGTGAGGTGGGGTGTTTGGGAGGGTGAGGTGAGGTGGGGTGGGGTGAGGTAGGGTGGGGTGGGGTGTTTGTTTGGTTGGGTGGGGTGGTTGGGAGGCTGCATATGACTGCAGTGTCCACAGAGGACTGAAGATGTTGACTCTTGGAACCACTTGACTTGGTACAAGAACAGAACGTGCTCTTAACCACCGAGCCACCTCCCAGCCCCCGAACTCAGAAACAAACTCTATTTGTTTCCCCTGTGTTTCTTCTCTTACTGGCACAGACATCAGGGAGACTGGGGAGATTTAAGAGGCTCTGTCCTTCCAGTAACCATTTCACAAAGACTCCATCTCTGCCCCTGCCACTATCACAAATGGTTGGCCTTTCCTAGATTGTTTCAAAGTGTGTGACACTGACATTCTTAGGTCAAGGCAAAGGATTGGCTTTGCTTGCTCTCCTACTGTGTAACTTTGGTCTCATAGTGGATTCAGAGTTATCTGGGCCCTCTTGATTCTACGCCTTCCCAGGGCAGAGGCTTTTTCAGGACCCCAAACAAGCCAGACCCTCGAGGTCAGAGGCCCAGAGCTCAACACTCGTTCTTCCCTGGGTCTGGAACATTATCTCCCAGGTTCTCAAAAATGTTGGTGGGTGAAATGCTCCCTTAGAACACAGGTTTCCCTGCCCTGTGTCAATCCACCACCAATAAAACCTTAAGCTTAAGAATAACTTTGTGGACAAAGAAATTGATCCATCGACTGTCTTGCAGATGGCAAGGATGATGCCACATTTCTGCCTGGCCCTGAGAACTCAGACACCACAGCTAAGACCTTCCCTGCCCGGGTCCGGAGAGCTACAACCTCAAGGACAGAGCGGATTTGGCCTGGAGGGGTCATTCCTTATGTCATTGGAGGGAACTTTACTGGTCAGTAACCACGGAAGAGACCTTGTGCCTGTATAGCCTGGCCCACCAGATCTGTTGGGGATGTGTCTGCAGAGTTCACTCAATGAACTTGGTGTGTGTGTGTGTGTGTGTGTGTGTGTGTGTGTGTGTGTGTGTGTACGCGCGCGTGCATGCAAGCTTGCATGCAAGGGCGCTACAGTTTAGCCTTAAATGGCTGCAGGGCCTAGGCAGTCATAGCAAGAGGAAAAGAGGCATGGAGCTGTCCATGGTGGCTCCCAGCTCAGCCTGCATTAGCAGCATGGACTTGGTAGTCCCTAGGCACCTGAGCAGTGCTCTAGGTGGTAACCAGAGGGCACATACATATCATGGTATCGCATGATGTGACACAACTTCCTGGTCTGTAGCCTGGCTCCACCTCAAAAATAACTTAACATCTCTCTGTCTGCAGTTTCCTCTTCTATAAGTGGGATGGCGAGTTAATACCAATAAGAACTTAAAATTTGTGCCCAATGCATAATGGTATTATCTTTGGGATATGTGAATCACCTAGACTGAGGCTACTGGCCCTGGCCTCAGGCCCTCCCTGCAGAGTCCTGCCTCCTCTTTCTTCCTCCTTTCTGCTTGCCCCGAGCCTCATCAGCCACCGTTCTGTTGCAGGACCTGTCCATCCCCAGCTCCCCAGCACACTGTCTTTCTGTCCCTGAGACACAACCCCAGACCTCTGCCTGGTTGGCTTCTGGTCAAGTGATATATCCACAGACAATCCCACTAACTCCTTATCACCCCTACCAGCTACCCCCTGTCCCAGCTCCCTCTGTCTCTTAGCAGCACTCATCATGACCCAAAGTTTCTTCACTTCTATTTGTGTTTGCTGGTCTTGGCCCAAGCTCTGCTGGAGCAGGGATTAATCCTCCCTTTTCATGTCCAGCACCTAGGACAGTGCCTGGTACAGAGGGGAGGCTGCCCAAATCTGCCCACAGCACATCACTGGCTGAACGCCTGAACTAAAAGCCCCGTTGAGTCAGGGCCACAGCTCTCAGAGTGCCTTCGTTAGCTGGGGTACTGTGGCTTCTATAAGAGGTGGCTGATGGAGGCTGATGGCCCAGTGACTTGCCACAGCCACTGAATGAGCAAGTTAGCAGCAGATTGGCAGACCTGAATGAGCAGAGCCCCGAAGCGGTGGGGAACCTTCCTGGGCTACACGTCTGCTCCGCTTGGTGGCATGACTCCAGCTTCCAAGTGCTTAATCAGGGGCCACCATAAGAAAAGGGAGAGGCCTTCTCCCTGTCATCCAGGCTGCCTGATGGGAAAAGTCACACATCCAGAGATTAAAATGTATCCCTGTGAGCAGCTGCCCCTGCTCTTTGTTACACACATTCACTGTGCTCTTTCTGGTCCAAAGTGCTCCGGGTTCTTATGACCAACAATTTATATTACCTTCATCAACAAGAGCTAACTTATTATTTTAGAATATCTTGGACATGGCTTTATGTTTATAATTAGTAGGATTGCTATTTTGGTAAGTGCTTGGGCTACAAATAACGTGAACCTTAGTATGTCAAGATGTCAAATAAATAAATAAATAAATAATAAATAAATAGACAGCCAAAGTTAATCTTATGTGCACTATTTTTGAGAGGCAATATAACACTATACCCACATTGTATTCTAGACTATGGTGGGAGTTTCTCTCGATTTATTTATTTAGCATTATTATAAACTCGGGACTCTGCTCCATCACCCTTTGTAATTCTAAAATATTTGTTTCTAGAAACTTCTCATTGCCCCTAGAAAAGTTAAAATATTGTTAATTGTATTACCTTGATAGATATTGGAAAATATTTATTAACTGTGCATGACTCTCAGCTGGGGGTTTTTAATCATTCAATAACTTTCCAATCAAGGAACTCTGAAGACAGTGTCAGAAAAAGTATGAAATTCATTCATTTTTTCAAAGTCCTTACAGAAAATCAAGACTGAATACCCCAGCAACCACTGAAACACCATTCAAAGTGCATAGATGTGTGTGTGTGTGTGTGTGTGTGTGTGTATGAACAGGCTTATAGAATGCACTAGAACACTCTACTGCAGGTGTGACAGAAAAATGAGGGCAGAATGCCATGTTGGGGAGAGGGCTTCCTCTGATCTAGAAACCTACCACCACCAAGCTGGGGATCCCAGGACAGCATCTACTGTTAGTAACCCTTCCAATCCCAGATCCCTAAGTCTCTAGGATTTGGCTGTTCAGAACAGCTATTTATTTATTTATTTATTTATTTATTTACTTACTTACTTACTTATTATGAGTGTTTTACCTGTGTGTTTTTCTGTGCACCACATTCATGCAGAGGCCAAAAGAGGGTATCAATTGTCCTTGGACTGGATTTACAGACAACTGTGAGCTGTCTTGTTGGTGCTGGGAATTGAACCTAGGTCCTCTGGAAGGGCAGCTGGTGCTTTTAACCACTGAGCCATCTTTCCAGCTCCCTCTCCCCTTGACAGGATCTTGTAAAGTCACCCTGGCTGGATGAAACTCTCTATGTAGATGAGACTTGCCTTGAACTTATGGCAGTGCTCTTGTCTCTGCTCCTGAGTGCTTGGATTACAGACATGTGTCAGCATCCTTGGGAAAGGGAACTGTGAACCCCAATAGACTTCTATTCTGGGTCACCAAAAAAGCTTTTAGAAGCAACTAAAAATATTTGACCAACCTTTATATACAAGGTAGTTGACCTAATATATATACAATGTATAATGAGACATTGTATAATGACCCCACAACCCAATTAATGAACACATCCATCACTACCACCCCTAGTCACATTTGTGTGTGTGTGTGTGTGTGTGTGTGTGTGTGTGTGTGTGTGTGTGATGACACTTCAAATCTCTTTTAAGCCTCAAAAAAAAAAATGCAGTATTACCAGCAGGAATTTTGAAAACCAGAGCAAGCTTTGTCTTAAGACTGTGCCTTCGTGACTAAAGAGGGCATGGTGTGTCCAGGAGTGAAGTGATCAGCATTGCTCTGTTGTTTCAGGCAGCCAGAGGGCCATTTTCAAACAGGCCATGAGACACTGGGAAAAGCACACCTGTGTGACCTTCGTGGAAAGGACAGACGAGGAGAGCTTCATTGTGTTCAGTTACAGGACCTGTGGGTAAGCAGGAAGGAAGACTGCCTCAGTGGAGTACCAGGGGACAGATGCAAGGATGCATGGGTCTGGAACTTTCTGTCATGCTGCATTTCCACTGAGCTATGATTTGTGGGAGGCCAGGTTTCGTTGGACGCTCTTTGTCCTCAGTGAAAGGAGATGAGTTCAGAGTGTGGCTCCAGGGAGACTCATTGCTGATGGGTCCTGTCACCAGGACAGCAAGGCCGATGATGATTCATGTGGAGAAAGACTCGGGCCAGTGACTCCACTGAAGAGCTAATAATAGCTGATGAAGTGGCAGACTCTCCCAGCTCACAAGTGCATGTCCGAGTGTATGAACGTCTGCCATTTTAGAGGCCTGTTTTTCTCTTTCTCTTTCATGTCCCTTGGGTCCACTTTCCATCCTTTCTCGTCACCTAATATCCTCTCTTAGTCACGTTCCTATACTCACATTTACCCTTGCTTACACTCACACATTATAGACTATATACATTATAGACTATGTACATTGTAGAATAGGATCTGCATGCGAGACAGAGCATGCAGTTTTTGTCCTTCTGAGTTTGGGTCACCTTGATTAATATTATACTTTCTAGATCCATTCATGTTCCTGATTTTATTTTTCTTTGTAGCCGAATGGCATTTGTTGTATAGATGTACTTTTTCATTATCCGTTGATCTGTGGGTGAGCCCCTAGGCTGGTACTGTTTCCTTGCTGGCATGAGTACACACACAGCAATAAATGCAGATTTTAGTGTCTCTGTGGTAGGGTACAGGTGCATGTCCAGGAGAGGCGCAGCTGGACAGAACAGTAACTTTTGAAGAAGCTGATGAACAGAGGAGGAAATTCTTCCCCTCCAAGCACCAAACCCAGAATCTCAAGAGAAATTATTTTAGATCCTTCAATGTTATTTCAACACTGAAACTTTCCAAAGAGAAAGAACATTTCCAAATGTTTTAGAGAGCTATCGTGAATTGCTTGCTGTCCTGAAAGCACCCATTATGGAAGAAGAAATTAACAAGGTACAGATGTACCTCACATGAATAGCTATGGAAAATTACATTTAAGATGCTAGAATTCCCAGTGAAGAGTAGAAGAAAGGCTACCCATCAGTTTGTGTAGAACATAAGACCCATCTACATCCAGAAAATCTACTCATGTGACTGAGAGATCAGAGAGAAGATCTGTACATATCTCAGCAGATGCTTACAGCATCTGGATGACCAACATGCACTTTCTGCTTCAAAAAAGACCTCACAGGAATAGATGCCATTTATTAAAGTGTGTGTTTTCATGTATGCAGATAGCTTTGTGTTCCTATGTGTATAGTTTATGTATGCATAAGTACATATTGATCCTAAAAGTATTTCCGTTAGAATTGGGGACAATTCGAAGAGATTTCTGATCTTCACAATAAATTACCTCTGCTCTGGAACTGCTAATATGGCTAGACTAGAGAGTGAAATCAATGCTTTGAAGATTGGCAGGAACAAAATCAAGTTTGCATTATTGGGAGTTAATGTGACCATGTGCCTGGAAACCCAGAAAGTCAACTAAGAAATTTAAAGCCTAAGAGTTTTAAGTAAAGCGACTGGTCACAGAGTGAATACAAAGTTAAGTATGTTCTTTAGTCATGCTTCGCCTGATAGAATTCCATAATAGGAAAATATAACACTTCTGTTATCTTTGGATATAGGAGTGAGAGAGTCAGTCTTTTGCAACGTGGACATGTGTGTTTACATGCTCAGTAAATAATATGTGGGTGATGGTGTAATCAAAAGTTTTAATTCCTTTTTTAAAAAAGATTTATCGTAGGTGTATGAGTGTTTTGCCTGCATGTATAATGTGCCCCTCATGAAGACTTGGTACCTTCAGAGGCCAGAAGAGGGCATCAGATTCCTGGAAGCTGACATCACAGTCAGTTGTGAGGTGCCACCTGTGTGCTGGAAACTAAACCCAGGTCCTCTGCAAGAGCAGCAAGGGCTCTTGAGCACTGAGCCAGCTATCCAGTGCTTTTTGATTTCCTTTTTATGCCTTTATTATAGTCTGATAAACCTGGTACAGTGGCATACACCTGTAATCCCAGCATTCCAGAAGTTGAGACTGTGATATTAAGGTCAGCCTGGGCTACATAATGAGTTCTAGGCTACCTTAGTTGAGCAATAATACTAAAGGGCTGGAGAGCTACCTCGGTGTGTAAGAATTCTTGCCCTGGAAGCTTGAGCATCTGGGCTTGAATTCCCAGCACCGACTCCATTCTTTGGCAAACTCATGCACATGCAAGGGTGTGTATACTCTCACATTAATATGCTATCACACACACATGCATGCATGTGCACACACACACACCATCCTTCCTCCCCCACCACACCATTCAACAACAAAACAATAATAAAAGTCTCATAAAACCAGTGCTTAGGAATAATGAATAAATATTTTTTGAAAAATATACCTGGGTTGAATATAGACACTTACTAAGATCATTAACAATGACATCCAGGAGCACCCTTTCCAGAACTCAGCCACCTACTTCTTGTCTCTTCTTGTCCTCAAAGAAGGCTCTGTGGACATGCAACATAGATGAGAGATGAGTGTGGGCATGCTTCGTTCTTGGTAGGAAGGCCATTTCTTTCTTCAGGTTCTAAATGGGATCTGTGATCACCAAAAGGCCAAGATACATTTTGGGGGAATGATGATCTTGTTAGGGGAAGTTGAACAATGAAAATACTTCTACCTCTGAAACCCTTTCTTCCTTCTTTCCTCCCTTCCTTCCTTCCTCCCTCCCTCCCTCCTTTCCTTCCTTCCTTCCTCTTTTTCTTTCTTTTATACAGCTTTATACCATGAGTGGCAAGATGAAGTAGGAAGGAGGTTGCCTCTCTATTTGATACCCTCAGGCCTGCTAATCTCTGTATTTCATCTCGCAGCTGTTGCTCCTATGTGGGGCGCCGAGGAGGAGGTCCACAGGCCATATCCATTGGGAAAAACTGTGACAAGTTTGGCATTGTGGCTCATGAGCTGGGCCATGTGGTTGGTTTCTGGCATGAACACACTCGGCCGGACCGAGACCAGCATGTCACCATCATCAGAGAAAACATCCAGCCAGGTAAGGGATCTTGAGTGGAGTCTAGGAGCCAGCAAAGCTGAACATCCCCACACTTAGGACAGAGGAGGGCCTGCTGGGAGCGTTCAAGGCTCATAGCTAACTGGAGGCAGTGACCTAACTTTGTAGGCACTTGTTATGGCCCTACCACCGGCCACCTATGGCATTCCTGAGAACACATCTGCTGAAGCGCGTGGCTTACAACAAAGTAGAAAGCATGAGTCTTCATGTTATAAAGGAAAATGAAATCTAACCCAAGTTCCTAAGCAGAGTCAAGGCTGATTAGGCAAAAGAGTTCTCCCTGCAGTTTTCATGAGTTACTTTTGCCACGCAATGCTGCCTTTTGAAATTGCAAAGCAAATTAAGGTAAAATGCATGTGAAAATGGTACCCTGTGTGGAAGCATTCTACCCCCAAGGCAGACAGCATGAACAGATCAAAAATGTATGCATATTTTCATGTCAAATAAGTTGGCCTAAAAGTCTGTATTCGAGCCTGGTGAGGTAGTACTTGCTTTTGCTTATAAGTCATGTACTAAGGAAGTTGAGGCAGAAGGATCACAAGTTGGAGGCCAGCATGGACTATGGGTGAGTTCAAATCCATCTCAGCATCTCAGTCAGCCAATAAGATCTTGTCTCAAAAACAAAGAAACCAAACAAAAAAAGTTGATATTGAACAAGAAAGTAGCTAGCTGAATTATATAGCTGCCTTAATCTGCTTTGTGTAGGTAGGTATACATGTAAGTTCACATGCTTATGGCACATGGAGATCAGAGAACAACCTTGGATGCTGTTTCTCAGGGCCTTTCCACATTATTTTTTGAGACAACACTTCTCATTAACCTTGAGCTTGCCAAGAAGGCTAGAATGGCCAGTAAGCCTTAGGTATGCACCCATTTCTGCTCTCAAGGCTGGAGTTATAATCAGGTGCCACCAAGCCATATTAATACATGTATTCGGGGAACTGAACTCAAGCCATGCTTATGAAGCAAGCATGCTTCCCCAACCAAGCTCCCCAGATCGCTTTAAGCTTGCTTTAGAGGACTTGAACCTTGTGATTTATTTTCTTCAAATTGAAAGATGAGAATTTTGGAGATTTTTTTTCTTTTAAACCAAATATTTTAGGCAAGCAGATTCAGTGCTATCTATCTACAAGCAGACTTGGAAGTTTCAAGCAGCATTTGGGGAGGGGTGTTGGATAGTGGGACAGAGAGAATACAGGGCTTGTCCAATGCTTCAAATTTCTGGTCTATTACATACAGTCACCAAAAGTCCTGTCATCTGGCCACTCAGACAACAAGAGCTCCCAGAAGTTGCCTGGGCCCTTCTCCTCCCCACAGCTTCCTTTTGGGTACTGCCTTATTCCCATATTTCTTAACAGAGTGTTGTGTCACAGGTCAGGAGTATAATTTCTTAAAAATGGAAGCCGGCGAGGTGAGCTCTTTGGGAGAGACCTATGACTTCGACAGCATCATGCACTATGCCCGGAACACCTTCTCAAGGTCAGAACCTTTGTTGACCCCCCCCCAGTCTGTTTTTATTACACTTGCCTCAGGCTAGGGTCTGAGGAGTCCTGAGGTCTGTGGAGAGTGAACAGGTCTCGGCATGCTCCTTCCATGGCTGGCCTGTCCATCCTTGAAATACAGTGGCCTCTGGGCTGCAGTGAAATACAATCTAATCATGTTCTTGCTAATAAGATTGAGTCCCGTTGTGAAGCTGGTGTGTTCCATCATGCCCTCATGTCACAAGGAACAAAATGGAAAAGAGAAATTATGGAAAGGTCATCTGGGAGAATAACCTAGAGGCTTTTTTTATAAAATTCCTGTTGGGTGGGGGCATCTCTAACACACATCCTAAACAAATTGGAAAGTGCTTGCCATTGTCCTAGAACAGGCTCTGTTTATTAAGGAAGCTAGGCTGTATCAGAGAAGGAAAGGCTGCAAATCACGGGTTCTTTTTAGAGACAAAGAAAACTAAGCTCCAACATCTTGAGAGAGCACAGGTACCCAGATCAAAGTGAGAACAAGGAGGACGGTTCCATACTTTCAGTTCTCAGGGAATAGGTGCTACTCAAGAGAGAAGGGTGGAGCTGCTATTTACCTCAGGCACCCTTGGGGTCCTTCCCCTGTGTGGGGCTGTGCATGGAGGTGTTTTCTCCATACTGCTCCTGTGGCTGGGCCATGTAACTGTTGTGTGCAGAGAAGAGCATCCCCACTAGTCCCAGCTGGTAGGCCTTCTCAGCCCTTATGGAAACACTTAAAAGTAAAAGAGACATTGCAAATATTTTTATCTTCTTGGCTGTTAAGTATCCTCTTACAAATGTCTGTTCATTTATCTAATCCTTCCTCCCAGAAAGGTCCTATGTGGGTAGTTTCCAACACACACACACACACACACACACACACACACACACACACACACACACACACACACACCAGCAAGGGTTAGGTGGAAAGACAGAGAGCTATGTTGAAGTCTGGAATAAATTCAGTGCTCAGAATACATGCCAGTGGGACACGAAGGCTTTGTCAGCTCATGCTTCCTAGTAGGCAAGGCAGAGAGGAAAACAGGCCATTTCCAAGTCCCCATGTGTGTCAGGGCTAAAGGGAGTCGTTGGCTTGGGAGCGTTGGCTCTGGATAGGAAACTGATCATTGAGGGCTGTTTGGTTCTTGGCCTACAAATCTCCTCCATGAGGTTGGCAGACTGGTAAATCCCAAGTTCCTTAGGGTTACTGCTCCCCTGGCCACATATCTGCTTCAGTCCTGACCTGCCTGCTGCACCCAAACAGGGTTCCCAGCCCCCTGACCAGAGAGTGTTACTCAATTCAGTTTCGGACTGTCTCCTTAGAAGATGGGCGACTCAGCTGCCCCCGAGTCCCCTCCAGCCCCAGCCTTTGTGCAGCAATCTCTCAGTCTAGGGCAGATAAGGCAGGAGACGGCAGGTGACCCTGTGCATTGCCACACAGGAAATCTGAAGTGAAGGGGCTTCCTCTTCTAGACTGCTAAAGTAGACTTGAGGGGTCCATTTTGGGGCTAGAGGGTGGTCTGGTTTCCTTTATATTGTTGTGATAAAAATACTCTGACCAAAAGCAAATTAGGAGGAATGGGTTTATTTCATCTTATACCTCCAGGTCATAGTGCATCGTTGAGGGAAGTCAGAGCAGGAACCTGAAGAAGAAACCGTAGATCTATCCTGCTTTCTGTCCTAACAATGGACGAGGGGGGTGGGTGGGAAGACAGGTGTTGGGGTTGGCTGAGACCTAGCTCAGAAAACATACAGGGAACAACTTAGTGCCACCATTAACCAGGGGCTTATGGGCTGGTATCAACAGTATCAACAATGTCAAGGACACAATGTCACATTGGCCCAACCGAGAAACTTGTGCCTTGGGTCTTATTTTTGGTAACTTCTGTAATTATTCATATCATTTTACAATTTTTGTTTGTAAGCCTAGCTGTCATAGTTTAGGGCTTCTATTGCTGTGAAGAGACACCATGACCATGGCAACTCTTATGAAGGAAAACATTTAATTGGGGTGCCTTACATTTCCAGAGATTTAGTCCCTTGTCATCATGGTGCGAGTTGCACATCTTGCCTCATAAGCAACAGAAAGTGGTCTGTCTCTCCGGGTGTGACTTGAGCATAGATGAGACCTCAAAGCCCACCTCCGCAGTGAGCACTTCTTCCAACACGACCACACCCACCCCCAACAAAGCCACACCTCCTAATAGCGCCATTCCCCTTGGGGGCCATTTTCTTCCAAACCACCCCCCTAGCCTTTAATAGCTGAGCCACCTCTCTGCTTATCTGCCACATTCCTCCCTCCCCCAGTAGGCTGTGAGCCTTAGACATAGCCCTGTCTCATTCTCATCTAGTGTGTAGCATCCGGCTAGGTGCCTGCCACATACACTTAACTCGTGTTAAGTTTTAAGTGAATGTATGAGGGCCAAAGAGGCTTAGAGAGCTGCACTGCAGGGGAATGGGTGAGGAAAATCCTGTCCATTATTCTTTGTAGGCCTTTGTACATACTCACAAATGTGGCAGATGCCCCTCTTCAGAAGGGAGACTCAAGTCTCTCCTATGAGGGCACGTAGGGCTGTAGGAACGAAGGCACCACCCACTGTAGTACGTTCTGGAACCAGAGGCCAAGCAGAAGCTCATCCTATTCTTCCTAACTCTCTTGCTGTTTTCCTATCTTTTTCCCTCCTGTGATCTCTAGCTCCATAATCCCTTGCTTCTGTACCTCTGGAGGGAAACTTTTCTAACTCCAAAGTCAGCATGAGCTATCTTATCAGCACAGACCAGAGGAAATCTTTGAGCCAAACCCATGAAATAATCACACCTCATCCAAAGGGCCTAGGAGGGAGATTGGCAAGGAACAGCTCTAGGACGTGGTGGGCAGCTGATGCAGAGTGGCTTCCCTGAGGCAGAGTTCAGTTACTGCTACAATCCCTATTGCTGTATAACTTCCCTGCCAAACGTAGGGTCTTAAAATCACAACTTACTGGGGTTTTGCTGTTGTTGTTTTACTCTGGGTCAGCCCAGCTCACTCTTCTCTGGTCTTGCCAGTCATTTGGCAGCTTAATTGGGCCGGGGATCTAAGCTGGCCAGTCACACATAGCCCATGCTCCTCCTTCCCGTAAACTCTCACCCTTCAGTAGATTTAACCAGGCTCTTCTCTGCTTGAGGACTCACGGCTGTTGGAGGGCAGCCTGGGTACCTGCAAGCCTCTAAAAAGGCTTTTCTCACACCCTATCCAAAAGGCCAGAATTAGGTGAAGTGAAGAAATACACTCTGCCTCTTAGTGGAACAAACAGCACCTTTGCCTTTCAAAGGGATGTCGCTATTAAGAGATGAAGTACATTATTTAATCATCTACCCCAGGCCTCTTATCAGCTCTTGCCCCTGAGCTTGGAATCCATTGCCTACACACACACACACACACACACACACACACACACACACACACACAAATACGTTTTGGATGCCTGCATTGCATTTGTGATTTTTTTTTTTTTTTTTTTTTTTTGGTATGAAGTTTTTAGAAGGCTGTTTTATACCATGGGCTCTTATTGGTGGCTTTTTGGCTTTTTTTTTTTTTTTTTTTTTTTTTTTTGCAGCATTATCACAGGCTTCTCTACTTCTAACTGCAACTCGTTTCCCTTGGTCATTCCTCCCCTAGGACTGCACTGTACCTCACCTTTTAGCTCGAAAGAGGAGCCAATCCCTGCAGGACACAGACCTGTGGGATAAAGCCCTTCCTGCTGATGGGAAATGCAGTCTCTGAGTCTCTTTACGACCTGAGCTGTCTTCTTCCAGCCCTGTCCCCTCTGGTTTTATTGCCTTTCTTCTCCTTTCCCCCTTGGGGGGAGTGGTGTCCTTAGAAGTTTTGCTGGGCACAGGTCCAGAAGTTGAGGAGACAGTCCTCTGTTACAGGGATGTCTTTGTTTGGAAAACTCAGAGCTGACAATTTTATTCCCTAAGACATCTGTCAAGCCTTCCCAGTTTAGCCTGAAGTCAATGTTGGGCACTGTCCATCCAGAAAGGGTAAAGGTGCATTGCTACAGTTCAGAGAGACTCCGAGAGTGGACATTCTCCAGAACTCAGTGGCCTATCAGTAACTCGGGGAATTGCATTGATGTCTTAGCTCCAAAGACTGGGTGAGAGCCACTGTTGAGCCTGCTACTTTTGTCCCAAACCTCCCGTGTACTTATGTCACCACTTATATACATGGAAGCCTATGCTCCCTGAGCGGTGGGACACATGCCAGAAAGATGAAGAAGGCTGGCAGAAGGTTCAGGCCTGCCGAGGTGCTGGGATGGGTCTTCACTTCCAGCTCTGTCTGCACACCAAGTCATTCAGGGAGCCTCGTGACAATAGGGACAATAGGGAAAGCCCTAAGAATATCGGAGGAGGGAACATAGCATAAACATGCCAGGCCTGCTGGTGGCCTTGCTGACATCACCTAAGCCCAGGCCACTCCTTAATCAAGATGCTTCTATTTGTTTTTTGTTGCAAAATTCCTCCTTCAGAGAAGTTGTCCCAGGGAGCCATGTCCTTTGTTAGGGCAGAAGTGTCTCTCTGTTGAGCAAGTAACTGAATTCAGAATTTTAGTTGTCTTAGAAGTCATTATTTAGGATTTCAAGCCTGGCGAGGAGGGGAGAACAGGTGTACATGAAGAACCTTGGGGGACTCTGGGAGAGAAGGACTGAGCCTCAGCAAAAGTCAGGGTGGAGGTTAACGGTTGAGCAAAGAAGGCCACAAGGCCCTCTGCTGCGATGATCTGGATTCTCTTGTGCTCAATGGAGAGAAAGTGTGCTGAGAGTCTGAGAAAAACAAGCACTTCACAGCCAAAAAGATAACACTGTGATGTAAGCAGAAAAAAACTGAGATGTGTATCATCTAGCGTGGCAGGGAATTTAGGAGAACTCAGAGCTGGGTGGGGGGAGAAGCCAGTAGCTAAGCTGTGTATGTTTTAGCTGATTCTTTTGGATGTAAATAACTATTTTGTGAAGTTCTTTGAATAAGAGTTCCTCATTGTGGTTGTATAATTTAATTAAAAAAAAATAGGTGGGGCTTGTGCCCTTCCTCCCCTGCCCCCACCCGAGTCTGTAAGGACAGAAAGGAAAAATCCAGTCTTGAGAAACTTACTTTTGGCAGAGTAGAAAATGTCACCAACACATTGGAAAAAAAAAAAAAGAAAGAAAGAATATGATAGAAACTAGTCAAGAGAATAGGGCAACACCAGATGGGAGGGTAGAAATGTCCTGAAAGGCTTTAAGGGGAGGGACAACTGACGCAGGATCTGGAGAATGAGCAGGAGTCTTGTGAGCAGGCAAAACAATGGGGTGTGGGCATCCTAGGGAGAGGGCCTAGAAGGCGATACAAGACGTATGGCTGGAGAGGAAGTCAGAAATCATGAGCGAAGGGCCCCGACAGCCAAGTGGCAGGAAATTGCTAAGCACACACCTGTCCTTGCTTTCTGGGGTGGCCACGTTGCAGCATTTTAGGACTGGGGCAAAGGAGGTTGAACCCATAGAGAATGACATAGTCAGGAAGCTTCCAGAGAAAATTCAGGAAGAGATGCCTATCATGTGATCTCCAACAGTGGCCTGGGAGCCGGGAGGAGGGCCTGGGTTCAAGGGTGGCTGACAAGGGTACACTGGACAGAACTTGGTCACTGGTTCAGTAAGAAGAGTGAGGAGCAGGGAGGAGCTGGGAGCCCTTCCAGAGACAATCTCCAGGGTCAAAGGTCAGGGGACAAGCAAAAGGGTGGGGTAAATCCAGTTGTGGGCCCAATTTAGGGTAGGATCTTGGCCCATGGTACAGCTTAGGGAGGTGGTACCAGATATTGGGGTCTATTGGATGACTCTGATCTGGACACAATTCTCTGGGGTAATTCAAGCTCTCTGTTGGTGTAGCATGGACAGAGCAGAGGCAGGGGCATCATTAAGGAGGAAGTGGAAGAGGCAGTTCTCTCCTAGTTTGTGCAGCAAGGCCTGGGACCTGGGAGAGGAAAGAGGTGCTGACAGCTTCCAGAGATATAGAGAGACAGATGAAGACTAAGATGATCCCACTGGAGTACACATGATCTTGCCAGGCCAGTTAAATCACCATAGGAGTACAGAGTGAATGGAAGCTGAATGTCAAAAAGGAACAGAGGCAATACTTTGGGAAGTTGGCTAAGAAAGGAATAGACAATGCATGAAGAAGAACAACGCGTAGGACAGGCCCAAATAGAGAGTCTACAGGCAGAGGAGGGGACTTGGATTTGGCATCCAGGTGTGAATAGACCAGGGCTCAATCAGACATCTGGGGGTCCTCTTGTGTTTTAGAAATGCCCCTGACATTTTAGATCTTAGTCACACAAGTAAAGAATAAGGTGCTAGGACTAGGAGGGGCCATCACAACCAACCAGCCAATCTTCTATTGTGCAGTGAAGTAAACTGAGGCTCAGCAAAGTTCAAAGAAGGGAAGGGGCATCTCAAATTAACCTACATGGCAGAGGCAGGCCTGGCATGGGAATATGCAGCCTGGCATCTTTTGATGACCTCTAGTGTTCTTGAGATATCTGCTGGACCAGTTCTCAGGCTCTTCCTGAAGCAGCTAGCTCCAAGACTTATCTACACAATGTACTGCCTAATGCACAACTCCAGGGGGTGCCACTTGCAACACAGTCTCTGAATGGTGGTCCCTGGTTTGTGCAATATGACAGCCCCGGTATGAGGGCCTGTCAAGAGCTTCATGGAAGTACTCAGTCCACATAAGTAAGGCAGGCTTCAGACCACTAGACTAGAGTATATTTTTCAACTTGGCAGCTGCCTTCCCATTGGGAAATGAGTAGGCCGTGCATGGGATGGAAGGCTGCAAGTCAGCGTGAGTGAAAGAAGCCACTCAGTCATGCTAGCAGGGAGAGATGGTGGCAAGTGATAGGTTCAGGAATGTTGATGGAGGAAAGAAATGAAGACTGGGAATCTCCTCGCACAAAGCCTGGCAACCTTGACTTTTCTTTCTCTCTCTCTTTTATTTCCTGTAGAGGAGTTTTCTTAGACACCATCCTACCCCGTCGAGACGACAATGGCGTCAGGCCAACCATTGGCCAACGAGTGCGGCTCAGTCAGGGAGATATAGCTCAAGCCAGGAAGCTGTACAAATGCCCAGGTAACTGTGAGCCATGGGGATTCCCAGCAACTCCTAGCACCCCATGCTACACAATGCATGCTGTGTGCAAGCAACCCCGTCCCTTGCTGGATGTGGGAACTGAAGGGGCCGCATCTTAGTAGCTGTGGTTTCTTGTGTCTTTGTTGGGGAGTGTGCAGTACGGTGCAGAATGCTGAATTGGAGAGACACATAGCAGGCTCAGAGCCCATGGCCGCCTGTCTATGGGAGGCTTTTGAAGTTCTTTGGCAAAGCCCTGAGTGCAGAGGGAAGAGGGGAAGTGGAATGCAGTACAGCGTGACCCGTTGCTCCGAGAGCTCCTCTTCTTTCTAGGGAACTGGGGAATGCGGATACAGCAAAGGAAGAACCAAGAGCTTCTGGCCAGAAGGCAAAGAGTGAGAGGAATGGTTTGGGGATGGTAGGGGTCCAGTTCCCAAATGCTACAGTCACAGCAAGTCTCGGTGCTGTGGTCTCAGGGTTGGCTACCAACCATATGCTGTTAAAGACCAGAGAGCATCTTGGGGTGAAGCAAAGGCTTGTCATGAGCTAGGGTTGCGGTCCCTTCTCCTCAGACTTCATCTCTATCCTGGTTTCATTTCTGTTGCTGTGATAAAATATGTTGACAAAAAGCCACATCGGAGAAGAGTTTATTTGGCTTAGAGTTTCAAGTTCCAATCCATTATTGTGGGAAGGTCAAGGCTGAAACTTAACTTGTCACAGTCAAGTGCAGAGAAGAAAAATATATGGATCCTATATGCTGTCTCGTGTAGCTTTCTCCTGACTTGTATAGCTTGGGACCTATGCCCTACCTAAGGAACGCTACCACCTACACTGGGCTGGGTCTTCCTACATCAGATAACATTCATGACAAGCACACAAACAAGCACACAGGACAACCTGATCTAGGTAATTCCTCGTCAGGACTCTCTGTTTTGTATCTAGTGGACAGTTAAAACTAACCAGCTTTGGCATTTTTTCATTCCATGTCACTCTGGGGTCAGTGCCCTAAGGTGCTTCTAAATCCATGCAAAGTATTGATTGTAGCAGCCAAGTTTGCGGCACTATGGGGCAGAATGAAGTTTAGGGGCTTCGGGAGGACAGAAGGAAATTCCATCACTGACAGCTTCAGTAGCCTTCTTCACATCCTTCAAACCAGATGTGTTTTGATTTGTGATGGAATATTTGAAACTGGGGCTATTGGAGAAAATGTGGGCTGTGACATTGCCCTACAACACAGGATCATGGGGACTGAAAAATGCTGTGTAGGCTGCATCCTTGTGGGATGAGGAAATGTTTTCATCCAGCCCTCAGTCATCTAGGGGCATGCGAGGGCTGAAATACAGGACACACGTATCATATAACCTTCTGAATGTAAAAGAAAACCTTAAGGCATTCCCTGGGAAATGCCACAGTATTTATTTAGTTACACTGTATATGCTGCTTATTTCCCCAAAGGCTTCCCAGCAGCTGGTAAATATCCTGGAGCACACAGTAAGGTATCTATTCTTGCAGAATGCTGATGATTATTCTAAAATAATGTTCATGGAACCCTCGGGGGTGTTGGCTGCTGGGAGTGAGCCTCACGATGCTTGGCAGCTGTTCTGTAATGTGACTCTGAGGCCCTGATAGCCAGGATTTCCTGAAGCAAATGATGGGTAGCCCTCCACATGCCCTCTCCTGTAGCTCCAGGAGCAGCTGAGGTTGCTTCAAGGGGTCATTGCAAGCTAGGGCAGTGCCCAAGCAGAGGTGGGGGAAAATGCTTAAAGACGCTCATTCCCTGCACTTTGTGGGTAGCTCCACGGTGGGGAGGTCACTCAGCAAGCCACTGCCTTTGCATTTTGGGGGTGTCAATCCCCAGGGTTCAAGAAATGCAAATGTCTTTTGCTCCCAAGCTACAGGAATGCCCCTCCTTTAAGGAAAAATTAGAGGAAGTAATTTTTTTTCTTATGCAGGTTCTATATTCTAGACATGTCCATTACTGGGCACCCTTCAAAGACAAACAGGCCGAAGAGCACACTGTAGACTATGCTCATATAGCTGTCTGTACCCTTGCATTTTTTCTGCTTTCTTGTTTGTTTGGTAGCTCTCTCAGAGGTGGAGCGCAAAAAGAAAAGAATTTAAATGGGGGCATATATGAGTTTCAGAGCGTGTTTTCTTTTGGCTTTACTGACTTATACTTTTGTATTTCCCCTACTACAGATGCTATTATTAGCAATTATGAAGGCTCCAATGTGGCTGGGAGATATGTAGCTCAGTGTTAGGGCACTTATCTAGCATGCCTGAGGCTCTGGCTCAACCTCTCTCATCGATCAATCAGTAAATTAGTTGCACAATCTCGGTAACATTCTGGGGGATCAAGGCTTGAGTGGACCCAGTCTGTGTGATACAGGTGACCTCACTGGCCCCTGAGTTGGTCCAGCTCATGGCTGGAGAACTGAGATCTGAACCCAGATCAAGTCATACTAAGAGCCTTTGGCAGAAGCCCTGGGCGCTACTCCTTGGCATCAAGATCTACTTACTTTTGCTTGTCCTGCTCAGAAAAATGACAGTCTACTTGGCTCACTCTTCATCCATCATTGACAGGGCTTTGGCTTGGGAAAGGGCTTTTACTCCACAGGCCTAGGGCAGGGGTAGCTCGGGGGTGAGGCGGGGAGTCTTGTGTGTGCCTGTATCAGAGTTGTTGCTTTGTTTATGCAGCATGTGGGGAGACACTACAGGACACAACCGGAAACTTTTCTGCACCTGGTTTTCCAAATGGCTACCCCTCCTATTCCCACTGTGTCTGGAGGATCTCTGTCACCCCTGGGGAAAAGGTAGGTGAGAACATTAACTCCCCTGATTGGATCGTTGCATGCTGAGCACACCCCTGGCTAGGACACTGCACCCTATACACATGAACAGTGAACACCATTTTTAAAAGGCAGGGATAGGAGGACTCAGCCTTTGAGCCGGTGATGACAGCAGCTGTTCTGAGGACCCACCGAATGCCAGGAGCACCACTGATTGCACTGAATCCGGTGTTTTCTGACTTCTCAGTCAGTCTTACCCACACAAGTGGAGGCCTGGCATGCCCTAGATGCCCACATGAGTTATGAATCAAGCTACCTGTCAGACAAACCACAATCTGCCCTTTACCTAGACTAATGCACTAATACTCTACAGGGCAAGTATCCAACATAAGATTCCTGACACCCTGGAGTGGTCTTTGGTAGGTGACAATGTAGCCAGCATAGCTGGCTTCTCTTCTCTAGCCCTCTTCTTCCCCATGTTGATAACCCACCCACACCCTTGAGTGTCAATCATTCACTCCAGCCTTGCAAGCAGCCCTCTGTGGGCTGTCCGGACATGTGTCTGCTCTCAGATCCAGGAAGGAAGCCATGACATGTCCTATAAGTGAGCTCAGGGAATGCCAAGGCCTTGTGTCCCTGGAAGAAGATGCTGGGGGCTTAGCAAGCCCTATATTTACAAATTCCTTTGGCCCTGAAGATCCCATGGCCCTCTGCAGCTGAGCTCATGGCCAGGCCCTCTTCTCCTTGGTCCAAGGTGGATATGTTCTGCTCCACTCACCACAGAGTACCTTTATGTTTATTCTGTGGACAAGGTATCTGGAGAGAAATTGCCCAATCACATATTGAATACAGAACTGGAACTTTAAAGTTTAGCTTTCTTTATTTTATTTTTTAAGTATGTGTATATGTGTGTTGAAGGGTGAGTGTGTGTGTGTGTGTGTGTGTGTGTGTGTGTGTGTGTGTGTGTGTGTGTGTGTGTGTGCTGGAGCTGATCCAGATCTCCTGAGTCCAGATCCCCTGGCAGATATCAGCCGCCCAATACGAGTGGTGGGAACTGAACTTGGGTACTGTGCTAGAGCAGTACACACTCTTAACCACTGAGCCATCTCTCCAATTTTTATTTATTGTGTGTTCTACACATCCAGATATTCTTGAAGTTGTTTCAGACCAGGTCAGCCCTCTTTTCTTAGGTCTAGGTGAGGGGATGTCCGTGTGTTCCCCGATCCTTCTAGAATCACACACGTCACAGCATGCCTCAGTGTCATAACTACTGAGGTATTGTCCCATCTGTAGCCTTTAAGCACACTGAGGACAGAGATTGTCCCCAGCAGTCCCAGCATCCCACTTTCATGGTACAGCTGTGGCACGTGAGTGCTTGTGGAATGGATGTGTGGCTACATTAGGGTGGGGTGTCACCAGGGTAAATACAGGCAGTGCGCCACAGTGGATATTTTTCAGGTGTTCACAGCCAGACTACAGACACTCATAATTTATAGCTTCAAGTACAATGTGAGAACCAGAGAGTAATGGCTAGGGTCAATTTGAAAGCATTTTTTTTACAGACTGGATTCTTCCCACAATAGCCTTATAGTTCCCTTAGTCACATCAACCCCACATGCTAGATGTTGACACCCATTTATCAATAGAAAATTGGACCTACTCAAGGTGACTACATTTGGTGGAGGGTTGGGAAGTGAACACATACCACTGAGAGACTAAAAACCTGAACAGTGGGCCATCATCATGTTACACAAAGGAGACAGAGCTCACACACATACACATCTGCACACGTGTGCACTCTCACAGGACAATGCCAGGACTTGGAAGACTGCACGGTGGCTAAGATAGTTTTCTGTGCAAGCATGAGGACCTGAGTGCAAGTCTCTAGCACCCCAACCATCTGCATGAGTGCGCACAGATATATGCACTCACACACTTGGAGGCATGCACCACCACATATGTGAGCGCATGTGCGCGCGCGCGCGCACACACACACACACACACACACACACACACACAGTGTGGTTGTCATCTTGAATCTGACCGTTTGCCTTTTGTGTGGATATGACCATGCCTGCTAGAGGTGCTAACAGGCAGGAAGAGGAGGAGGAGGCCTGGTCATCCCCCGCCCACATTGTTGGCTTGCTGCACAGCAGGCCTGTATGATATGTTTGAGTCGTGTAAGCTTCACTAAGTCTCAATTATTACTGCTCACTGGGGGCTCAGAGAATATACATCATTGAAATTCCTGCAATTATTCCCATTTCTGCCTCACCCGGCCTTCCCCAGAGCTGCTAGTAATTAGCAAACTTGATTGATTCCCGTATTGCCTCTCGCTCATCACTTCCTCCCCAATGGTGTTTATGGTTCCCTAACATACTTAAAATAATTAGCCTGAATAATTATCCCTCTCAGTTAGAGCATGAATGTATTTCCAAGGAAGTGTTACTAACATTTCTTCACTATAATCTTAAGAGAGCAAAAACTAACCAGGGCGTTGGTGGTGCACGCTTTAATCCCAGGACTCGGGAGGCAGAGGCAGGAGGATCTTTGTGAGTTCAAGGCCAGGAGCTACACAGAGAAAACCTGTCTCGAAAAACAAAAACAAAAATAAATAAGTAAATAAATAAAAATAAAGAACTCTGCAGGACCAGCTTATAAGCATTCCTGCACCCCACTACCTTGTTACCAGCATGATGCAGATTTGAGAGAAACCCAGGGGTACCTCAAACTTAAGATGCTTGGGTTCCTCAGTCCTTAGGAGTCTGATAGACATGTCCATGATACTCATGCACCGTATCTGTTATTTTCTGGTTCTCACTCACTCTTCATTTCCTGGGGGGCCTCTGGCTCTGTGGAAGAATCTGCCTGGGTGGGAATTGGCCCTAGGGAAGGGGTGGGCACTCTCAGCGATGATCAGGATGGAAAGTAAGCCTGTGGGGGTGGTGGGGTGCCAGCTGTGATTGGCTAAGGGCACACTCAGTGTCGTCTGGCTTGTGTTTATGGAGTACTTGCTGTATGCCAGACACAGCATTAGCCCCTCTGTACACAGACTCCTCCACAACCTGCTGGGAAAAAGATCCAGGAGTCAATTACTTCCTCAGGATTCTAGAGCCAGTGAGGGGTGGAGCTGAGGTGACTGACTGAGACACCTCCGAGAGGGAGAGAGGATGGGGGGTGGGTGAACTCCTAAAGATCAAATGTCAGATGGTTCCATCTGAGCAAGGAGTTAGGAGTGAACACTTACCTGGGCCCAGGTTATGTAACTTCTAGAGTATTGAGAAAGGGACTGGGCTTGTCTTGGAGAATCTAGAATCTAGCAGAGCCTGACTTATGAGATAGGGACACAGGGATTTCTTCAGGGATTCCCTAAGATGGGTTGGGGCAGCTTGGTAAACCTGAGACATAAGGCATGGAAAACTGACCTAGAAGCTGTAGCTGTGGGCAGTGTGGGAATCATCCCAAAGGCGACCTTAGGAAGGGACACTGAAGAACAACACAGAAACACACTGTAAGTGGTCAACCAGTAAGAATAATGGGATGAATGAATGAATGAATGATGGATGAATGGGTGGAAGGATGGATGGATGGAAGGATGGTTGGGTGGATGGAAGGATGGACTGACTTCAGGAAGGCTTTGGGAGACAACAAAACTTCAGAAGTGGGAGGTCATGGCTGAGGGGACAGTGATCACAGCCGTGTTCGTGTGCACTTGAGCTAACCCCAGACCCTCCGAATGATTGATGATGTTACAAGATCTGTTCGTATCTCTGAACCTCATTGACCCCTTACCTCCTTCCAAATCCCTAGTCTCAACTTGCCCTGGCCCATCTTTTAATGCATCTTGCTTTCTTTAAACCACCTAGCAACTTCAAAAAGCTCAAGTGACTCCCCAGACGGAACTGAAAGACATATCTCCTTCTGTTTACTCCCCATCCCGCCTAAGGTTTATTATTTGATGTCAGGAGGTTTCCTGTGTGTGTGTTTGGAGAAGACGCTCCTACTGCGGTCTGAGGGCTTTCTATGCTAAGGGGTAATATTAGATCACTGGTATGTAAGATGCATCCTTCAGAACTCTTCAGGCTTTGTTGTTCAAACCTACTTTATGGTAATTCTTTACAGGTCATCCTAAATTTCACATCCATGGATTTGTTTAAGAGCCGGCTGTGCTGGTACGATTACGTGGAAGTCCGGGATGGTTACTGGAGAAAAGCCCCCCTGTTGGGTGAGTGGAAAAGAGATGGGCTGTTCTCGGGGATGCTCACACTATCGGGAAGGCTCCATTGTGGCAGCCGGCACAGGAAGCTCTCAAGTGCTCTTGTCATTGTAAAACTCTGAGCACTCCATTTGGCCACACATGTTAAAGGCTTTTAAAAACTGTCAGCACCCTGTGACCCAACAATTCCACTTGTTGGAATTTCTCCTAGGGAACTAATTAAGGAAGCGTGTAAAGCTCTAGCAGCAGGGAGGTTCACTGAAGCAGGGAGAATCAAGGGCAATTTAAATGTTCAGCAGTAGGGGTCAGCTGAGTAAATTGTGACACATCTTTTCAACAGAAAATTCCCATCCATTAAACATAAAGTTGGAGGTGAGTGTGTATCAATACAGGGAGATTTTCTGGTGCCCTGAAACCTGCAATAAGTATGTTCCAGAATGGAGTAAATAGACTTATTTCAAATACATATGTGAATATGCAGATGTGTATAGTGCAGGAATTGCTGTGTTAGCTGCTGTAACAGGCAGGGGTGAGCAGAATGGGACTGATATGATAAAATAAAGAGTCTGCGCTGTCCAAAACTAAATCTTTAAACCATTGTATGGGCTGAGTCCAACTGCAAGAAACCATTTCATGATTTCTAATATAAATCTCAAATAAAGCCGGAGATGTAAATGACACACAGTGGTTATTTCAGAATGGAGAAGGATGTTTTCATGTTTCTGTTCTGTTCTTAGCTTACTTATCTCTCCCAGGTTTTCTGATGGGCAGGTATTATTTCTGTGGACAAGCCAAGATTTAGATTCATCCACCAAAGGCAGCTTGGACCTTTGAGTGAAAGGTCACAGGATAAAGAGAAAGTTTTCCCAAAATAGATCTCTTAATAAGGGAAGATTAATGTTGCGTGGGGGATCAGTGGTCTTGGGTCTTGGGACCCGAAGCTGGGGCTCATTGGCCTGAGAAGGCCAGATATAGTGGAGCTGATATAGTGGAGAGAGACCAACAAAGAGCCAGATGAAAGAGTTGCGGATGAGAGCAGGGTATCCTCTCTGCTGGAATGGTCTGTACAGTGGCCTCCTGGCTGGTCAAGGCTAATGTTTTGATGATGACTGGTCCCCGGCATTCCTTCATATGAGTGGAAAAGCCACACTTGCTGCTCTGCAAGTGATGTACCTGGGAAAGAGCTGTTGCCAGAGTGGTTGGCTGCAGGTGGTGATGAGAGAGAAGGTCCTGATGTTGTGTTAGATCCTGGGGCACCAGGATGAGGCAGTCACACTAGACAGGGGTAGTCTCTAGGGAACCTGTAGCCTTCTGCATGAGTAACGTCAGCTATCATTGGGAATAGCTCATGTAACACACAGGCACATGTATCTAGCGGAAGAGTGAGTTTAAATTCTCAAGGGTACAAACAGGGGGGACTTGTGCCCTCAGAAACTCCAAGGTACCATTGAGGAGCCAGGGCAGGGTCTATATGCCATCATTAGGAGAAATCTACCATGTAGCTAATAGTCCAGACACACAAACCAAGTGCCCCCTGGAAGTACGCATAGGAATGTGGGCATGGGCAAGTGACAATACTGCCCAAGACAGGGTAGTGCCTGCCTGCACTGGGTTCTGTTTCCTGCCTAAAATAAGCAGACATGGGAGAAGCAGTCAGAGATACAGGTCACAAGCAGCATTTGTCAGGTGTGCCAAAATGACACAGGGCAGGGGAGTGACTCAGTGAGTGAAGTACTTTCTTGCACAAGCATAAGGACCTGAGTTTGGATCCCCAGCTCTCACATAAAAATCCTGGCACTGTAGTGTGTGCCTGTGACTCCAGAACTAAGAGCAGCAGTGGAAATAGGTGGATCCCTGGAACTCACTACCCAGCCAGTTTAGTTCAATCAGTGAGGTCTGGATTCAGCAAGAGACCCTGTCTCAAAGAACAGAGAGTGAGGGAGATGCCTGATGTTGACCTCTGGCCCCCATGCCCCTGAATACACATGCAATTGCATCCATGTCCACACATGTGCAAGTGCACCAGAACACATAACTGTGTACTCACCCGAGCCCCACCTCCCAGTGAGGCTGGATTCCTGGGAGCAGCGGTTTGTAGACTTGTCTGACCACCACCATGTTCCTGGATGAGACTCCTGGAAAACAACCAGAACCCACACAAACTGGGTCAGAGAATGATCCTGTTGGCCTTGCATGTGCCTCCATCTAGTAGCAAACACACAGAAAGGGTGTTCATTAAGGGATGGAGTGGTTACTCTGAGAAAGGAAGCGCGGGGGTGGTGGGCAGCGTTAGGCTGTGTTTTGTGCACTTCTCTACTGTTTGGATCTTTTGCAATAATGGTTTTACAAAAGCTATGTGTGAGAGGCTTGCCCTCACCGACAGATACCTTCAAGTCACCGAATCCCACATGGCATGGGAAATGCAGCTCCCACATACACGGAGAGCCTAAGGCCTCCCGGCTGGCTAGTAACTGTACTTAGACCAGAATCCCAATGGCCTGCTCTGGGGACAGGTGACTGCTAAATATTTGCAGTCCTCGCATCCCCAGTTGCCAGACAAAATAGACCATGTGTTGTTTATCTGGGAGCCAAAGGTAACCAGGCTTCCTGGAGTTTTGCTTGCCAATGTTGGCAGCCCTATACCACCAGGAATGGGTTAGACTAAAGCCATGGGAGGAAGGAACCAAAGTTCTCCCAAAAGGGCCAAGGCACGGTCCAGAAAGTGGACACAGGCCTGTTTTCAGGCATCCCCTTCGCTTGAATGGCAAGTGGGAATTTTCTCAGTGGGGACCTTGGTGTCTCTTAGTATTAGAACAGGACTTATGCAGTTTGCCAGTTTCCTGGTGATGGCTTGGGTTGATTTTTCTTGGGAGGAGTGGGGTTAGGACACACATATTTTACCTGAATTGCTCTGTCTCTCTCCCTCCCTCTCCCCCCATCTCTCTCTCTCTCTCTCTCTCTCTCTCTCTCTCTCTCTCTCTCTCTCTCTCTCTCTGTGTGCGCACACACGCTCTCATACACACAGTATTGCACAGTATTGTAGTTAAGGCATGGCCTGATGCCTGGAACCATCATTCTTCATTTGCAGGCACCCTTCTTTGCCAACTATTTGGTCTGCTCTGATGTTTCCAAATGCAATCGTTAGTGAATTTTTGTGTTTGGAACAAGTGCATTGTGTTGCCTAAGCTGGTCCCTGGGAGGGGTCAGTGCCATGAAATCTGCTGGGAGGAGGCAGGTCAATGCCCCTTTGGCAGGAGGGAGAACGGATTAGGGCAGATTGTAAAGTAGACATCTTGCTCCGCATCACATTCTTTCCCAGGGCAGTGTGTGAAAATCCAGGCATAATGCGTGCATAACTTTTTATGAATGGGCCCTTTATGACTCCCCACAGAGCCCACTTGGAGTGTCCTCATCTGCATTTCCTCTCCTTGATATCCTTATTAAACGCCTCTAAACCCAGGAACCAGATTTCAGTCTAGGAAATGACTCCTCTCTGTGCCAGTTTTTCGACAGTCTGCCCAGCCTCTTCCCCGAGGGAGGCTGTTTGCGACCCAGGTTTTCACTTACTGGTTTCAAAAGAAAATTAAGTAGATGAGAATGTTTTACAGCTGCTTAAAGACCACAAATGGGCTTTTGGTCCTTCCAGAGGCCACTTACCTTTAACGGGGTGGGGGTGGGGTTTAGGGCCATGCCTGCAGAGGAGCCAGTTGGTAATATTAAACGCTGTCCCACAACGTGGATTACCCTATCCTGTTGCCATTAGGAAAATCACTTCAAGCACTCTACTTTTTTTCTGAAGAGCTTCCTCAGCATTCAGTGTCACCACAAGGCACATAAAAGCCCCTTATCCCATTTCCTTGGAACATGGAGAGGAGTTCAGAAAGGCCAGGCTGGTCCGTCGGAGTCTCGTGGCCCCACCACTGAGGCTTCCTGGGCAAGGGCTGCTTCCCAAATGAACAGAATGGATAGTGTGAGGCCAACAGCCAAACCTGGCACAGGGACAGGTGTGCTCTGTGTCTGAGGCCTTGATCTTCATTTGTGCTTGTCTTCTTCTGAGCTGGGACATGAACATGGCTCTCCCACTCCCAGAAAACACATTTGGTGTCTTATCCAAATTTGCACAATGTTCAGAGTTACATCCAAGTTCCTTTAGAAGGATGATGGTGATGAGGATCTGGATCTCAAGCTGCCAGTCTTCAAATCTTGCTTCCACCTCCAGCTTTGAGGCAGATGCTCCCATCCTCACTTTTCTCATCTGTGAAATGGGGAGAATAGCAGTACCTGATTCAGGGGAAAGCAGTGTATCAGATTTCCCTTGCTGTGACAAAATACCTGAGGGAAATCAACTGGAAAGAGATAAGGTTTATTGGGCTGATGGTTTCAGTTCATAGTCACCGGACTTGAGTGCTTTTCATTTGGTGTCAAGGCCAGAAGCAGCTGGCAGAAAACACTGATGCTCACTTCATGGTGACAGCGTGGAGGTGGGGGACGGGGACAAGGAGAGGACACTCACTGAGGGTCCACCGCCATTGACCTAGCTCCTCCCACTTCTAAATAGCCCTTAATCTGTGACTCCATCAATGGATCCGATCACTTGGGCCCAAACCTTCAACCCAGGAGCTTTTGGGTCACATTTCAAGTTCAAAGCACTGCACATGGGCTGAGATGAGAGAGCCCATGTCAAGTGCTTCAGACTGGGTCTCACACAGACATGGTCAGTGACGACGAAAGGGAGCTTCCATTGCATCCCCTGCCGTGACAAGGAAAATACTGAGATGTCAGCTGAGAATTGCAAAGGGGTCCGGAAGATCTGCCAAGGCAGAATAATACACGCCTGGACCAGAGGGCTGGGCAGGGGCGGGGCATCCTGTGGCAGGGGCAGCAGATGGCTCTTCTCATTGAGTTAGACCCATAGGCCGTGATAATGTGGGCCTCCCTGCTCACTCCCATTTGTCATTGGTCCTCAGTGGCTGTGGCAGCTGGGGTTTTAGAAAGAGAAACTTAACTGGAAATACTTAGGGTGACATGGTCTGACGCTCAGTGCTCTCCCTGCTGACAAGTGGTGCTCCCCTCATGTTTACCTGTTGTTTCCCCAAAACTCCTCACAGTAATTGGCCGTACTAGAGGTCACACCACAAAGCTGATAGCTCTCTAGTAGGTGTTTCTCTGTCTGTATGTGTGCGTGTGCATGCTTGTATGTGCATGGGTGAACATGTGCTCATCAGCATGTATGCCTATGTAGGTAGGAGTACAATGGGTGCCATTCTTCAGATGCTACCCACCTCTAGGCTGGCTAGCCAGTGAGACCCCCTCCCCTGTGTTAGAATGATAAGCACGAACCACCACGCCTGACTTTTTATATGGTTTCTGGGGCTCAAATTCAAATCCCCATTCTTGCACAGCAAGCACTTCACCCACTGAGTCATTTCCCCAGCCCTTCTAATGTGTTTTTTGTTGCCAGAGTATTGGCAACATTATTATTGCACCAATTCCGATAGCCGGAGTCAGCCAGAGCCAGGAGGGAGCAGAGTCTACTGGCCGCCCTCTGCTCTGTTTGTCCTCAAAGAAGAAACAGAGCTGACCATCTGGAAAATCCCACTGTGGTACCAATTCTTCCTCAGCCTTATGCTTTTCCACTTTTTTCAGAAGAATAAAGCGTAATTATAACATCTGGTGCCTTGTCCAGGGCTTTATGTGGTGCTAATGGTTAAACTACCCACTTTTTTTTTTTTTTTTTTTTTTTTTTTTTTTAATGAGAGCTGGTCACAACTACACATGTTTATAACTCCAGCATTTGAGAGGCTGAGGCAGGAGAATCCAGCAAGTTTGAGGCCAGCCTGAGCTACTTAGTGCCTTTAATGCCAGACTGGGCTACATAGTGAGACTTAGGGCTTGAGCTATAGTTCTCTATTTCCCTCAAGTTTAGGTAGCTCAGGTGATACCCAAGTCCACATCCTCCTCCAAGTTTGGGAGATACTCTATGGCTCCCAGGGTCTGTGAACTGTGGGAAAGTGCCCTCTATACCTTCTCAGGAGCCTATAGGCACGATGCTATGTCACATCAGGGCTGACACGGGGAGCTTTGCATGGCTGTATCATGGGCAAAGGTCTGGACAAGCCACATAGACAATTCCTTACTGGACCCAGAAAGATCAAGGGCTCTTGGGTCATGTTGCCCTGCTGAGCTCTGTGCAGGTCCTGGGGACACCATTTTCTGTTTTTCCAGAATCTCCTTGTGGGTTTTTTGTTTGTTTGTTTGTTTGTTTGTTTGTTCTAGCCATCATCTTAGCTTGGGGGAAGGGGACAAGGAGTCAGTCCTTATGGGGTTCCATGGTGTCCCTCCAAAGTTTTTCAACCAAGTCTCCCTCTCTGGGTGTCTCCAAGCCAGCAGTCTGGGGAACCCACTCTTCTTCAACCCATGCCTTAGGTACTGCATCTGGTCCTGAGCAATTCAATGTCAAGAGGCTTTGGTTTCTTGGTCTCTGGCCCCACTTCCGAAGCAAGGACATCAGAATACCCAGTGCCCCAAAGGGGAGGGTGTGGTGTCTTCAGAAGCTTTGGAGAAAGACACATCAGCAATAGCTCAGGACTATCCTCCCTCCCGACCTGAGAACCACCACAGGGCCCTTGCCACAGGGGTACTTCGATTACCTGGAATCCGTACTTGTCCCTCATAGGTATACAGACATGCCATCCTTAGACCCATCTTCAGCTCTGTGTGTACTGCAGGGTCAGCTGTCACGTTCCTGCCTTTCCTTCAGGCCGCGTCGAGGTGCGCTCAATGTCCACAGTGTCCTGACTGTCCTTTCCCTCTCCAGGGAGGTTTTGTGGCGATAAGGTGCCTGAACCCCTCATCTCCTCTGACAGCCGTCTGTGGGTGGAATTCCGTAGCAGCAGCAGCATCCTCGGCAAGGGCTTCTTTGCAGTATATGAAGGTGTGTTCTTGATGGAGCCGTCAGGCAGATGGCCACTGACAAGTACCTGTCCTTCTGTTGCAGCCTGGTTCCTTCCCAGGTGTATGAGGCCACTTGCTCTAGGGTCAAGCTCTTAACACAGAGTCCAAGCTGAGGACTGCACACTGCCTCTGTCACATTGGGCCGACTGAGGTCAGCTGTGTTGAGCTCAGCCACTGTCACAGGCCCACTGAGCTCTCTTCTGAGCCCAGCTGGGGTGTGGGAGGTGTCAGGGTGTACAGTCCTGTAGAGATGGCGGTGGCCTCTAACCACTCATTAGAGCTCAAGCAGAGGGGACCTGACCTCTCTGGGCTCTTGTTTCACCAGCGAAAAGTCAACCTGGCACTACCTGGAGGTCCCTTTCCATGTATGAGGAGGGCTGTAAGGTCACCCCAGGGATGCGTCTGTGTGTTTTAACTCTACTGTCTCACAATGGAATGGAACTAAAAAGTATCAAAGGCCCCTTTGCCTTGAATCATTGAGAAATTGGAGACTCCAAAACTTTATTTCATAAAAGGAAAAATGAACATATCTGCACATGCATGTGTTTGTGCACGTGTGTGCAAGCACACGTGTTCTCCGCAGCACCACCATCTCCAGGCCCACCTGAGTAAGACTCCGAGGATGAGGCCAGGCTCCCACAGTTGGAACGATTCCCGACATAGTTCTGTTGTATGCACAGAGGGTGCCACCCTCCTGCCTTAAATACCTGCTTTGATAGACCCAGATGAAAACGCTGGCTCTTGGAGCCATCTAGTGGCAATAAGTAGCCACTTACCTGCATTTGTAAGATGTGACCACAGTCTGACCCCTCCTTTTCTTCTCTTCTTTCTAAAGCCATGTGTGGGGGAGACATCACAAAAGATGCCGGTCAGATCCAATCTCCCAATTACCCCGATGACTACAGACCTTCCAAGGAATGTGTGTGGAGGATCACAGTGGCGGATGGGTCCCATGTGGGACTTACCTTCCAGTCCTTTGAGGTGAGCTCTGCTGGGTTGTTTCCCTGAGAGAGTGCCTCCTCTACACCCTCCTCTAAAAAGATGGGTTCTCATAGCTCACAAAGATACTGAAGTCGCAGCACTCGGGAGGCTGAGGCAGGAGGAAAGTGAGTTTTAGGGATGACTGGACCACAGTGAGACTTTATCTCAACCAAAAAAAAAAAAAACCCAAACCAACCAACAAACCAACCAAAAAACCAGAAAAGGTTGGGGGTGGGGTCTGGCTCAGTCAGTGAAGTGTTTCCTTGTCTTGCAGGTGTGGGGCCCTGAGTTTGGTCCTAAGTACCCATTTTAAAAAGCCAAGCATGGTGTACCTTGTCATTCCAGGGTTGGGAAGGCAATGCAGGCAGATCCCTGGGGCTTGCCTAACTGATGTGCTGCAGGCTACTGAGAAACCCTGTCTCAAACAAAGTAGGAGGATTCTGAGGAACAATACCTAAGGTTTGTTTACCTGTGGCCTACACACACACACACACACACACACTCACACACTCACACATTCACACACACAGACACTCACACACTCTCACACACACATACTCACACATTCACACACTCACACACACAGTCACTCACATACTCTGTCTCACACACACTCATACACTGTCACACACACATTCACACACACTCACACACTGTCACACACACTCACACATTCACACAGTCACACACTGTCACACACACACTCACAAATTCACAACACTCACACACTGTCACACATTCACACACACATTCACACTCTCTGCCTCACACACACATACACACACACTCACACACTCTGTCTCACACACATAATCACACACTCACACGCACACACACTCACACACTGTCACACACACACATGCAGTCACTCACACACTGTCTCACACACTCACACACACTCACACTCACACTCTGTCACACACACACACACACACACATCTAAAAGGAGACAAGTGTCCACTTTTGTTAAAAGTAGGAAGCTAAAGGCCCATTTCAAGCCGGTCTCCCTCGCTTCTCTTAGGCCCTCTCTAGCTTGTCCACCCCGACTGTTGCAACAGTGACGGCTGCTTCATTAGGTTTGAGTGAGTTAGGTTTTGAGTTTGCATTAAAAAGCTCTAAGCCAGTCATCCAGTGTCATCCACGTGGCCTCTGTCTCTCTCTTTAGATCGAAAGGCATGACAGCTGTGCATATGACTATCTGGAAATCCGCGATGGATCCACGGAGGAGAGCGCCCTGATTGGCCACTTCTGTGGCTATGAGAAGCCAGAGGCTGTCAAATCCAGTGCCAACAGACTGTGGGTGAAGTTTGTGTCCGATGGTTCCATCAATAAAGCAGGCTTCGCAGCCAATTTCTTCAAGGGTATGGCTTAGCGGTTTGTTCCTGTGTTCATTCATGGGAAGAAATGCTGCTTTCCCCTGTGTGAGACTCCCCCATCTATATGAGGCCTTAGCAGTAAGCAAGGCTCTGCAGGGAGGAGGCTGCTCATTCAGAGCTGCTGGTGGGGCCCGGTGGCATTCATACATAGGAACAGGCTCTCCTTGGCTTCTGTAAGGAGATTTCTATTCAGGAAAATGAGAGTTAGCGGTTTGTTTTTGAAGGGTAAATATGTGTTGATGTGTGATAGAATGTTCATGTGAATTTGGGTACATGTACATGTGCAGGAGTGCATGTGCATATGAGGCCTGAGACATTAGGGGTCTTTCTAAGAGATTTCTACCTTATTCTTTGAAGCAGGGCCTCTCACTTTGGCTCGCCTAGCTAGCCAGCTCTCTCCAAGGGCCCTTCTGCCTTCTGATGTTGGAATTGCAAGCATGCTTCCATGCACACCTAACATTTATGTGCATGCTAGGGATCTGAACTCAGGTCTTCACACTTGCAGAGCAAACACTTTACCTACTAAACGCAGGCTTCAAGACCTAGTGATTTCACCAGGTCAAGCTTATACTTAGTGGAACCCTGAATTAACAACAACTCATGCCTGGCAACTTCATTAACTGAGAACTCACTGTGTCCCAGGGCCTGTGCAAGGTGCTTTCTTTACCTGGTATTATTTTGTTCCTGTCTTTTAGGCTTAATTGTATTGGTCTAAGTTGAGAAGGGTTGCTGAGGGTTACTCAGAGATGGGTGGCAGACTAAAGATCTAAACCTGCCTGACTTCAGACCCCAGACCCTCTACAAGTGCTGGGCACTCCTTATGTGGGCTGGAAAGGCAATTCCAGAGGCATTGGCTCCCATCCTCCATGCTTGTCCCCAAGGAAGAGGGTGGGGAGGCAGTAAGGGAACAATTTTTCTTGATAGACTCAGACCCAGGCCACAAAGGCATACCCAGCATAAGAAAGGGCTTCCATGTTTCCTCTGAATGGACAAGCAGCAACCCCAAAGGATGCACACCATCCTTAGGAAGGACACAGTATTTCCCGGGTCTGGTTTACTGTTATTGTGGCTGGGTGCCAGGAGCATGCCAACTGTCATGACGGTAGAGACAGAGGGTCCCTGCAGCTCCTTCTTCATGGCTCCCTCATTATGGTACCACTTGGTGTCCAGCCATCCATACCCACTTCAGGGGGACTATGTACTGCCTTCCTTCCTCTTCTGTGTCTCCTGGCTGTGACAGGGAAATCCCATCCCTTCCCTCCATCCCCCATCTTCCTTGTTCCTCCTTTTTATTTTGTTATTTTAGTCTTTTGAGAGAGGGTATTACACTATAACCCCGGCTGGCCTGTAACTCACTCAGATTCATGGCCATTCTCCCGTCTCAGTTTCCTGTGCTCAGATCACAGATGTGAGCCACTATACCTGGCCCTGCCTCTTCTTTGATACCTTTCCTAGGTTCTCCCTAAAAGGTGACTGTCAGAAGAACTGACTTCAAGACTTACCAACCTGCTAGGCAGCCTCATTTCCTTACCGGAGCCTCAATTTCCCCTTGTAGAACAGAAAGAAGAAAGTCTGTTAAGGTGCGAAACTACAAGGAAATGATGGCTTGGAGACACTTTGCAAGTTGTTGAGACCCAAGTGAGATGTGGGGTTACTGTTCTTCCCTTCAGGACATCCAGGGGAAATCAGGAGACAGAATGAAAACCTTAATATCTAGTTATTAATTCCCTTGACCAGTAAGGCCACAGTGGCATGTTCCAGAGGACGGTGTCTGGCTCAAGTGTCTTTGCTGGGCGGGGCACGGGGGGGGGAGTGGGGGAATGGGATCGGGAGCTGAAAGCATCACCACGGGGCCTGTGGCACAGCCGGGTTGAGCCAGAGAACCTTGTGCCTTGATGCCAGTTGGCAACAACCGGTGCCTGGGGCCCAGCTGGCCCGTAACACTGGCCAGGGTGCCAGCTGGCCTCAGCACTGATCTCTTGGTGCCAGATGGCAGCCCCTCAGAGCCAATTGGCTAGGCAGCGGGCACGTCTGCTTACTTTAAGAGAGGATGGTGGCATTCGAGGCTTGGCTGGTCCCACAGCCCTACACAAGGAGTGTGAAATCCCTCCACACTGCCGTTGCAGTGGGTGGGGGGCACACGGGGTGAGGTGGTAGTGGGGACTTGCTTTGAGGTCTTTCTTCAAAGTCCCGGATGTGCTTGAACTTCCCTTTCCTTGCCTCTCTCTGAAATGATTTGAAGATCTTGTCTGAGTTTCATTATTGAGCCACAGAACGGCTCCTTCTTTTCCTGTGCACCTAGGGGATGGTAAGAAGCTAGGGCTCCAGCCACAATCGGCTAAGCTCTCGTTCCAGCCGATTCTATCTGCATGCTCAGGTCTCCTCGGAGGGTGTGCGCTGTGTGGAGTGAGCATGAGCCAGTGGGTGTGGTGCGGGTGATGCCTAGTGGCACCGTGGAGGCCATGTAACCAGCCAGACCCTGGCAAGAATGTGCCCTTGCCCGCCACTTACCCGTGCTGGCACAGTGCTGCAGACAGCAACACAGCGCACCGCTCCTGCAGCTTTTATTTCTCCCTTTTGTCTCTGCATGAATGGTGTTTTCTTGGCTTTAAGTCCGTTCCACCGGTCTCCCTCCTCCACCTAGCAACAACTGCTAAGAAATGGCGATCCCCTCTTTCTTGCCCCTGTGCCCTGCCCACAATCACCGTATCTCCTGGCATCAGTCTCCCCTCCCCTCCCCATCCCCTCCCCTCGGGTCTTCATTTATCTTTGTCTTTTCTCATGGGATCTTGTCTATGTTTTCTCTCATGGGATCTTTTCTACGTTTTCTCTCATGGGATCTTTTCTACGTTTTCTCTGCCCTCTGGTCAGTTTCTTAAACCTGCTGCACAGCTCCTGTCCATACACTCCTCCTTCACTGGCTTAGCTTTCAAGCCCTGCCCTGCTTTTGTTTTGTTTTGTTTTACTCTTTGCTCCTTTGGGGACCTGCCACTTTAGCTTGGCTTGTTTCTATTCAGCTTTTCTTAACTAAAATTATCCCATCTACTTTTTACCTCTGGGCTTTTATCTTTCTCTATTCTCCACACCTTTCTTTATTTCTTACTCCGTGGCTTGACGTGTAGCTGGGTAGCTCTTCCTTTTCCTTTTCGCATTCTTGCTCCTCCCTCTTCTCTTTTTCTTCTATTTATTCTCTGCACCTGCCAGCACCGTCAATCCCGTCTCCTGCCTAGCTATTGGCCGTTCAGCTCTTTATTAGACCACCAGGTGTTTTACACAGGCAAAATAACACAGCTTCACAGAGTTAAGCAGATGCAGTGTTCCACAACATAAACAAATGTAACACATCTTCAACTAATATTCCACAACACTTCCCTTCATCTGCTCTGTCCTTCTCGCTTCCTGCCCTCTGCACGTCTTCCTGACAAGGATGGGTCCATGTTGCTTCCTCCTTCCACTGTCCCTGTCACTATCTTCCCATCTGCTGAAATTGCCACTGCTGTGTCAGAGCTGTTTGTGACATGACCACCCTGCCCACTGACTGTGCACCAGTCCTTTGCAGACCTAATTTTCAACCACCGCAAAAGCCAAGGCCATTCTTGTCGTTTTATCAATTAGAGGAAAGCTCAGAGAAGCTAAACAAGCGGCATCCAAGTCCATGTGATGGATCCCGTCAGTTGATCCAACCTGACACAGATTCTTTCTACTGCTATATATTGTCCCATATATTTTCATCTTTGCAGAATTTTTAGCAGATGCCGTATATTTTGACACAATGAGCAATTAGTTTCTTGAACACTGTTTCAACATGTTTAATACTACATTTATTAATGGCCATGGACAACTTCTCTTCCCTGCCTGTGGCATCTCTAGGTGCCAATGACTAACCCAGTTCAGTTTTTGTTGGGTCCAAGAACACCACCTGATATTCAGAGTTACTCTGTATAACATCCAGTGGGTGAAGTTCTGGCATCCTGACAAGCGGTCTTCTCCTGGAGAAGGTTAATCAGGCTGATAAGGGATTCATGCATCACAGACAAGAAAGATGGGCCAAGAGTAGGTTCATTTGAGTTGGAAAAGGGCAGTAGAGAGGGAGAGACAGAGAGAGGATTCCCAACTCTTAGATATTCTGGTTTCTTTCATTTCCTTGTGCAGTTCATGCTTTCAGGGTCTCACCAACAACTCCATGCTTAATCTGTACCTATTCCTTGGTGCCACCGATCTGCACTGTTTTCCTGTCCCACCCACTTTGCATTTCAAATGATGCTGAGTGGTCCCTTCATTAGACTCTTCTGGCACAGTCAGGGCACACCCTGTATGCTATCTCTCATGGATAGGTATATCATAGCCTGCCAACAGAATGGTTTACCTTTTACTTCTAATACTCTTCCTGGAGATGGCCAATGCTAAGGATTTCTTTGTATCAGTGGCTTGTGAACTAACATCTCCTGGGGGGATTCTCCAGTGACTCCTGTGTTTGTCTATGCTCAGAGCTCATGACATCCTACTTACTGTTGTTCAATGCTCTGGGAACACACTGGACATCTGTTTGTGCTGAATCCCTCAGGCTCCCCACCCCAAGCCTGCTTCCTGTTTACCTAACAGTTTCTCCCAGGAACAGTGGCTAATCTGAAAACCCAGTGTTTTCTGCATGTTCCTAAGAATTTCTATAAAAATGCTGCCTGGCAGACTTCTAGCTGATGGGAGATGTCATTCTGTAAATATGTTTCTCTTATTGGTTAATGAATAAAGCACTATTGGCCAATAGGAAAGCAAGATAGGCGGGACTAGTAGAGAAAGAGGAGAGAGGAAGTAGGAGGGAGGAGTCAACATGGAGAGACTGGAGAGAGAGGAACGTCAGTCCCTCTCTCCAGTAAGATAAGACCACGTGGAAGTACTTAGATTAATAGAAATGGGTTGATAATTAAGACAGAGCTAGCCGATAAGAAAGTAGTAACTGGCCAACAGAATTATATCAAATACAGAGTCTCTGTGTGTTATTTGGCCTGGCACGGCTGGGGGACCAGGCTGGCAGGAAACTACTCATAACAAAATGGCTGGCGCGGCTCTGGGCCCAGGTCAGCAGGAAAAACTACTTGTAACATATAGCTCTGTCTAGGATACTCGTACATCTTCATATGGAGGTGCACCCCTCCATCTGCATCTTTTGCTGAATGTCTCTAAGGAGTTCTGTACTTAGGTGGAGAACCCCAATTCTGTGGTATTAAATGATGTGGCCCCTGGTGTGGAACCTGATGAGATTCATAAAACCACTCGTGTACAGTGAATGGGCCCCTTGCATAATTCTGTTCTCCAGGCATGGCCCTTTCTAGTCTGGATAACTAGATGCCCCTGTTTATGTGACCAGGAGTCCACCTTTGACCGAAGCTGCTGCATTTGACTGTCAAGTGCAGACACAGGAGTTTTAGGGGGTGGCCACTGAGAGTAGCTTCTGTCATAGAGACATGTACCTGGAGCCCTAGGGTATGGAAGGGAGGATATGAACCGTGCATCTTGATGACATTTAGCCCTATCACTTTCCCTCCCTACAGAGGTGGATGAGTGTTCCTGGCCAGACCATGGTGGGTGTGAGCAACGCTGTGTCAACACACTCGGCAGTTACACATGCGCCTGTGACCCGGGCTACGAGCTGGCTGCCGACAAGAAGACATGTGAAGGTTGGTGTCGGACCAAGTTGTAAGTTGAAATTACAAGGGATGTGAGACAAGTTTTAGAAGAAGTTGAGACAGAGATTGACAGGTGGCTGACTATGAACTAACGATGTTCAGGAGAGCCGCATACTTTTCCAAGACAGAAACAAGTGGGGACAGTCACAAATATAACAGGTTCCAGTCATCCTTCAAACCATGAGACAGAAGCTGGTGCCTACTGTGAGTGCATAAAATTCATGTGGTCGTCATGGCAAAACCACAAGGAGCTGTGAGTGCTCTGGCGGGACTTGGTTGATAACCCCTCAATTGCCTCTTTCCCATGTGGCCAGGGCTTAGCCCACCTACCCACCTACAGGAATCCGCTTGCTCACACAAGCCAGGCACAGTGAGTAGCTTGGTACAGACATCTCTAACTCTCCTTTGGTCCAAGGCCTGTGGAGCCCCCAACTGTGCTAGTTACTGTATGACAGCTCAAACGCTCCATCATTACTTTAACAGCAGTCAATTGTCCCCAGCTTGTTCCTCCGAAGTGTCAGTGGAAACCGGTCACCTCGAAAAAAGAATCTGAGTCAGTTCAGGTTGCTTAACTTTTTCATGATTATTCAAGGTCAGCAGGTCTTCCCGGTGCTTGAGGGAAATCGCAAACCAAAACTAGATGAATCTAAAGTCTGTTTCCCTCTATGCAGTGGCCTGTGGTGGATTCATTACCAAGCTAAATGGCACCATCACCAGCCCTGGGTGGCCGAAGGAGTACCCCACAAACAAGAACTGTGTCTGGCAGGTGGTGGCCCCCACACAGTACCGCATCTCCCTGCAGTTTGAAGCATTTGATCTGGAAGGCAACGATGTATGTCTGTGCCCCATAGCAGATGGAGTGGTGGCTGTGTTGGAAAGTGACTCAGAGCTAGGACAGGCTCCTCAGGTGTCAGGGTGGCCTGGGTGAAACTGGTGGGGACCTGGGGTGTAGACGAAGCAGAATTGGGGGCTGAGGAGAAGGGGGCAGCATTTCATTGAGTCACTTTAGCTGCATGCCCTTTTCACTAACTCAAGGGAGATGGGATCAAGAATGAAGGAGACAGGAGTTGGGGTACAGTGGTCAGGGCAGATTGAAACTCCAAGGTGTGGATCTGGGGACTAGCGTCCAGAAGAGAAAAATAAAAAGGCACCGAGGGCCAGCGGCAGCCAAGGATACTATAAACAGCCTGTCCCTGTCTCTTGGAAGTGGCTAGGGATAATCAAGTCAGAAGAGGCCTCGGCAGTACCCCACAGCCAGAGTGGTGACAGAAACATCCCATGCTCCACCTGGGAATTGTAGGAGCACCTGGGGCTACACGTGCTTCTCCACGTACCCCTGCAAAAGCCCAACTGGGGCTGTCAGTTTAACAACAGCAGCGGCCTAGCTCTTACCCACTCCATCACCCGTTTAGGGAACCAAGAGAGACTTCCATGCCCCAAATCCCACATTCAGAAACTTAAGAGGGAGCACTGCTCTTACACAGGACCCAAGTGCAATTCCCAGCACCGTGACCACCTATAACACTCCTGACCTCCATAGCCATCTGCCCTCACATGCACAAATATGTGCGCATGTGTGTGTGTGTGTGCGCATGCGCACACACACACACACACACACACACACACCCATTTGAAAGTAACTGACCAGACATTCAGCACTTAAGTTATTTTCAAAGAGAATTCTGTGCCCCACGAGGTGATGTGGATTCTGTCTAGTCCCAGCTCTGCCACTGATGAGCCTGGTGATGTCAGACAAAGGTGTTTCCCTTCTGGACATTAGTTTGTCTGCATGAGACTCTGATGCAGTTGGACTGTGGCCATGGTTTGAAGACATTTCCTCCCTTCCTCTCTCCTCCTCTGCCATCTCCCCACTGCCCAGGACCTTTGCTGAAGCCAATGCCTTATGGTAGCCCTCGATCTAAATAAGTAGAAGCAAGTAAGGACTTGATATTCTGCTGCCGGGTGGCTGCACCTCACAGCGCCCTCGCTGGAAAGTCTCTGTCCCCCTCTGGCTATCACCAGCACAGTGACAATCCAGAGGACTGCAGCTCCAGGACTCATAGAGCCCGTGTTCCCACAGGGTTCTGGGGTGGAGGGCTCTGGTGGGGACCCATGAGTGTCAGCAGGAGGACTTGGGGAGGAGGGAGGGGAGGACCGTCGTGGGCTGTGACTGTCGGGTTGCTAACATCATGTCCCCTCACAGGTCTGTAAGTATGACTTTGTGGAGGTACGCAGTGGCCTGTCCCCTGACGCCAAGCTTCATGGCAGGTTCTGTGGCTCCGAGACCCCTGAGGTCATCACATCGCAGAGCAACAACATGCGCGTGGAGTTCAAGTCTGACAACACGGTCTCCAAAGGAGGCTTCCGGGCCCACTTCTTCTCAGGCAGGTGGGGCGGGCCTGCAGAGGCCCGAAGGCTCCTGGACCCCGAGTTCCTGCAGCCTCCTCTCTGCCTTCTCTGACTTCCTCCTCACCCTCCATCGTGACAGTGGTTTCTATACCGGTGGCTCAGTTCAGCTCCTGGGGATGGGGACACCCCAACAAGTTGCCACGTGCCAAGTGTGTCTTAAAACAAAGAACTTTATTCTCTTAAGTTCTATGAGCCGGAAATTGGAACTCAAGGACACCACAAAGTATGTAGTGGGTCCTGTTGGTCACATCACACTGCAATATGAACTGTTCACAAGGGTGTTAGTGCTCGGCATGGAAGCAGGCCCGTTGTTTGGGCTTCATAGGCACTCAGAGTTCTGTCTGGCTCTTGAGGGTGGGCAGTCTCCCACTGAGCAAGTTCTGTTTTGTGTCCTGGGCACAGCACAGATCTGAGCTCAGAGGTTGCTTGGATGGCATCTAGCATTGCGTAAGCTTGCCCTGGCTGGGGAGGCCAGAAAGACAATATCCCGGTGAGTCCCAGCTTAGGGCAGGCCGATGAGGGCTGATTCTTGGAGGAGAGGGGGCCTAAAGCAGTGGGTATAGGCTCTCTCCTGATGCATGTGATCTGGGCCAGATTTAAAGGGCCGAGGTGGAGATCGTATGACTAGAGAGAGAGAGTGACCAATGTCTGCAGAAGAGGAGCTGTCGTGAGCTTGGATTCAAGGGTCTCAGTATTCACAAAGACCTACAAGACTAGACTGGCAGGAGCCATGGCCAACTGGGGAAGTCACAGGTGGGCCAGGTCAGGCAGGCTTGGTCATAAGGAGCCATGAATTCTGGCTAAAGAGTGGGATCCAGTGAGACCGGATGTAGAGATCTCTGTAGGTTCTGAGCAGGGAGACCTACAAATGTCATGCGATCAAACCAGGCCAGGGAGTATGGAGCTGGGGGGGGGGGGACAAGAATCTCCTCAGAGAAGGCTATGCAAGTCGCTAATGAGGGGTACAGTTCCATGTCTACACACAGAACCAGAGAGAGAAGTTAAGTCTTAGGGGGATGAGGGCCGTTAGCAGGAGGACTTAGGAAGGGGTGTATGTGTGTGTGTGGGGCTATCCTGGGCTGTGACAGTCAGTCTGCACTCTGAGAGCTCTGGATAGGGTTTTGGTTGTCCCCATGAGATACAATGCGAACTGTTCTAAAACGCCACCACTAGGGCAGCAAGACAGAACAGAGGGAAGGCTGACACCAATAATCCCTGCGGCAAGTATAGAGAGCGGGTGGGGGCAGAGCCTCACTTACCACAGGAAGAAGGTGGCCGTGGAAAGGTCCACGCCAGCTAGAGCCTCGGAAAACACAGGAAACAGCCAGCACTAGGGGTCACATGTGCTTGTAGTTGTAACAACCAACACTACCTAGGCGCGGAACATTCTCCCGAAGGCTTTCCTGATTTCCATCCTGTTTCCCCTCCAGAAACCTGAGGAAACCCAAGACAACTGAGGCACAGCCTCAAGCAATGCCCACTGTGTGGTTCCTGACCCACACACTTAACCTCTCCACACACAGGGAACAGTGTGTGTCCAGACCCATCTGAGTCATCATGAGCTTCATGCGGAATGGTTGGGCATATGAGTTACCTCAGCCCGTTTCTTTGCATGTGAACTGAGGGTGTGTGTGAGTGTGCGTGCGTGTGTGTGTGTGTACAGATACATCCTTTTTAGATTGAGTGGGAATTAACTTAAATAACAATAACATATAGAAAGTGACAAGGACCCATGTTGTGGTCAATATCCAGTATATGTTCCTCATTTTCATTATTGCTGCCATTGCTGTTCATTGTTGCTGTTGCTGTGAGTCTGTCCTTTAGGGAGATCCTTGGTTTGGGTGAAAAGCAGGACAGAGGACAGATGTTCCACGCATGAGAGTATTTTAGGAGAACAGAGAACCCCAAAGAGAGCAATGGATACCCCAAATATCCCAAACAAAGATGCCCGCTCTGTGACTTTAAGGGGGTAGGGTCTGGGAGGCTCCTTGGAGGAGGCTGCTTTGGGGCAGGGGTGGGGGGGGCAGTGGCAAGCTGGCAGCTCTTCTCAGGAGAGCCCATTGGTCTCAACAGACAAGGACGAGTGTGCCAAGGACAATGGCGGCTGCCAACAGGAGTGTGTCAACACATTCGGGAGCTACCTGTGCAGGTGCGGGAATGGGTACCGACTACACGAGAATGGACATGACTGCAAAGAGGGTGAGCTGGACCTGCTGGGCTGGCACTGTCTCTAGGAGTGTGGCGGGGTGAGGGAGGGTGTGGTGGGAGTTGGCTTGGGGATCCACCATCTGTAGAACACCATGAGATCCCCACCCGAATCTCCTCCACTCTGGTGGCCCCCCTGTGGGACAGCCGGTCAGGTGGTCTGGGACGAGTGCCTATCACAGACCTGTTAAGCCAGTAGGCTCCAGAATCAATACCTAGATCTAAATTGTGAAGGGCTCTGCCCTTCCCTAGCCAAGTAATCTTCAGCTAGTTACTTCAATACTTGAAGCGTCTGTGACAAGCAGGGTAAACCTAAGGATTTTGTAAGGCTGCCAGCCTGCCTAGGAAGTGTTTGAAACAGTCTGGTACATACCGTGTTGACGGAGGATGTCCTTCTGTATATATGTTTCTCTTATTGGTTGATGAATAAAACACTATTTGGCCAATGAGCAGGAAGATAGGCGGGTGGGGGAGATGAAGAGAATGCTGGGAAAGGTAGGCAGAGAGGGTGTGTGACAGTTGCCATGTAGAGCCCAGGAAGACAGGATGCTCCAGGAGCTCTCTGGTAAGATAAGGCCATGTGGAAATACATAGATTAGTAATTATGGGTTAATAATTAAGTGCCCTAACCACCGGCTAACAGTTTAATAATTAATACAGCATCTCTGTTTATTGGGTGCTGAAGCAGCAGAGGGACCTGGCGGGAAAGAAAATCCAGGACTGAGAATGAGATAGGATGTGAGGAGTTTTGCTTGCTCCCTTCAGAGCCAGATGGCTCTGCATGTCCAGCCATTGTGGAAGAATCCTGCCCGTAGCATTTGCCTTGCCCAGTGAAGGTAGTTTGTACATCTGTGATAAACGTAGCTTCAGATCTTGCTCTGCCTTGGGTCAGTGAAGGATTTGGAGGATGGTGGAAAATGTGAGGACCACACCTCTCTTTCTGCTTTCTTATTTAGAGATGGGCAGAATTAAGTGACAGGGTACATGCAAACCACAGAGGACGACAAAATTAAAATACTAGTCACCAAGCAAGCCCTGGTACCACTCTTGGCTAATAATAGGTGACCTGGACAAAGCAGAGACTGATGGGGGGAGGAAGGCATAGTGACCCAGGGATCTCTGTTCACATTCACCATGGGTGACACTAACCCACACGTATGAGCCTGGCATCCCTTTTACACATGAGGACATGAGACGTCTTAGTCCCATAAGTGGTGGAACCAGCCCTCTCACTGAACCGTGCCTGACCCCAGGGCCTGCGCTCTGGCTGGTTAACCTTACCATGTCCACAGTGCCAAGCTCCAGGTGAATACTCACAGCTACAGAACTCTCTCCTCCTGAGCCTGTTTCAGAGTCGGCACCAGGTCACACCAGATCCAGGCCACATATGGGATATTGACCTCGGGACTCCCTTGTGATGCTGTCCCGGCTAAATGACCCCTCTGTTTGTCCCCTTCTGACTTCCAGCTGGCTGTGCGTACAAGATCAGCAGTGCAGAGGGGACCCTGATGAGCCCCAACTGGCCTGACAAGTATCCCAGCCGGAAGGAATGTACCTGGAACATTTCCTCAACCGCAGGCCACAGGGTGAAAGTTGTGAGTTGTTTCATTAGTTTGCTAAGAGCATAGACTCTGGTTAGGAAGACATAGGTTCAAGTCCCTGCTCCGTGTCCAACATGTAGCATGTCTGGTTCTCAGTTTTTGCTGCTGGGAAATGGGGAGATTCTGTGAATCTTGCAGTGGGGCTGCTGGGCAGAAGAAGGGAGCATGCTCAGAGCTGTCACAGCACTGATGGCGGTGGCACCGTGTGAGGCAGCACCGTGTGACACAGGTCGGCAGTGCTGTGGGGTCCAGTTGTTTTGAGAGCAGGCCTCTTACAGAACATTACACTCTGGAAGAGGAAAACAAAAATGAAAGACTTACCTTACACAGACAGTTGGCAGAGGAACATCACAAGTTCTCAGGTCCCCTATTCCCTCTCTAGAATTTTGTGACTCTATGGAAGTTTCACACACATGGGAAAACATGTACCTGTGTAGTCTTGCCCAGCACATTTCATTATTTACAAAAAAGAGTTTATTCTCCAAATCCCTTGTCTTAACTCTCCCACCTATGACCTGTAATGTATGGTGTGTGTAGCAACTGACAGCTAGAGAATCTGACACACATGCATAGGAACAGACACACACACTCATAGACACATACATACACACATACATAGGAACACACTCACAGACACATATGCACACTCACATGCATAAGAACAAACACTCCCAGACATGCATACACACACATACATAGGAACTCACGGACTCATATGCACACACATACATAGGAACACACTCACAGATACATAAGCACACTCACATGCATAAGAACAAACATTCATAGACATGCATACACACACACATACATGGGAACACACACACACTCAGACTCTATGCATACACATACATAGGAATACACACACATCCCTCAGACTATTGAGATAAGCAAGGTGAACTTTGTGAATGACAGACTAACAATGCAGGAGGAGAGAAGAGATAGATGTGGTGATTTGTAGGTGATAGTGCTAAGGAGTTTCCTGCTACAAGGATAGGTTAGTGGGCACCCAAGGCATCATGGGTACAGAAGGGACCCCAGACCATAGGGCATGCTCCTCTGGCACCTCCTGTACATGACATGTGCTGCCTATGTAGAAACTGCTTTCTTCTGTCCTGGGTCCCTCCGAGCAGTGTAGAATCTAGATGAGGGTGAGTTAAGGAGTTTGGGCCTTTGAGAGGCCACCTTTGTCCCAGACTGCCACCTGCTGGAAATGTGCAACATCTTTTCCTGCTGATCATGAAGAGGGTGGGACCTCAGACCTGCAGGGGATGCTAACCTGTGCTGTCTGCATCTGTGCTGTCTGCATGCAAGAATTAGTCTGAAAAGGATGCTTCCTTGGATCATGGTTGGTGGGCATGATGACTGACTCTGCCTTTTGTCACTAGAGTGTGATGCACATACGTATAACCAGTGTCCCCCTTCCCACTCTGTCCTTTGGTCCAAGCCTTCACCTCATGCTCCCAGCTCACCTTGACACCACAGGCAGACCATAGCCAGTCAGTCATCTTTATGGCTTGAAATGTCCAGCTCCCCAGGCTAACAACTGGGGACAATCTTTGATGGAGGGACAGGAAAAAAAAAAAAAAAGAAAAGACAAAAGAATCTGGTTATGGTTAATAGCGTGGCCTAGGAAAGTTTGTCTCCGGGTCCTGTTTGAATCTCACTCCAGTTAGGGTCTATAACGTCATTAGAATTTAAGTGAGAAAATTCCCATAATTTGTTGGCATGAAAAACAAAAACCAAAAAACCATGAATGTCAGTCGCTGTGAAGATAACAGCATCACAGTGTGGCCCTGATGGAAGCCACTGGAATTCCAAGTGTATGGTAGTGTGCACAGGCTAACAGCAGCATGTCTGAAGCCACAGATCCCAGGTTGCATACCAGCACTGCCAGTGAGGGCCCTGGACAAGCCATCTGGCATCTTCTTACAGGGACTGTGCATGGCACGGGGTAGCAAAGGTTGGGTGAGGGAACATGTGCAAAGCCCATAGTACCAGTACCGGCAAGGGTGAGCGCCCAGCCCCGTCTGGCCTCTAGCATTAGAGGAGCGGGTGGGAAGAGGTAAATCCCGGCAGTTGGTAGCCTGGCTCTGGGACTGGATGCTGCATCATCATGGCAATGGTAGGCATTACCTGCAAAGCTGCTCGATAGAGCCCCCCAGGTCCTGTGTGCCCCTTCTCAATGTCAGACCCTTAATTCACTTTCTGTTCTCCCATCTTCAGACATTCAATGAGTTTGAGATTGAGCAACACCAGGAATGTGCCTATGACCACCTGGAACTGTTCGATGGGACGGACAGCCGGGCCCCCATCCTCGGCCGCTTTTGTGGCAGCAAGAAGCCAGATCCCGTGGTGGCTACGGGCAACAGTCTGTTTCTCAGGTTTTACTCAGATGCCTCGGTGCAGAGAAAAGGCTTCCAGGCTATGCATAGCACAGGTGCGGGCCGCTGCTGAACATCTCACAGGCTCATAGCTGGTGAAGGATGACCTTGGGTCTGTCTGCCAGGGTAGGGTGAGGAGAGGCATCCTCAAAGGTCCCCGCTAAAAGAAGCATCAGCAGCTGCGATTGGCTGAATCGTGTTCTCTGTTGCTGTCTTTAGCTGACAAAATTGGATGTGGGCAACACGTTGTTGGTGCTGCCCCCTCCCTTCTTCCTCCTTCCCTCCATTTCCCCCTTTAAAAAAATGTGTGTCATCTTGCTGGCCTGTGATGTGCAAAGGTCTGAGAACTGAGTGGTGGAGAGCAGCCATTGTACACCCGAGGGCCACTTCTGGGAAATGTTGCTTTTCCCTGTCATTTTTATTTTTTCCTGGCACTCGAAAGGTCAGTAGCTCCGCCAGGTCCTTTGGAAGAGGATGTGTATGCTTCTAACTCACCTACGCTGTTAAATAAGAAAGCCAATAAGGAAGTGAACTCTGCTCTGCCATTTCAGGCTTACCCTGCAGAGGAGCCGTGGCCCTTTGATCCTGGCATTTAATTGTGGCTGAGCCAGGGGCTGCCAAAGAAGCTGCCACAGGCTTTTGTCTGTAGTACTGAGCAGGAGGCCATGATCATAGGACACAGCCGTTCTTTTCAACAGCCCCTTTCCCACTGTGGCTCTTTTTAATAGCCCCTGTCCCTTCCCTCAGCCCCCTTAAGCCAGAGGCAGAAAACAGTGGTGGTCGGTCCCCATGCCCAATCAGGCTAGTCCCCCCTGCTTAGGCAGACACCCCACACTTCCTGAGATCCCCTGTAGCCTTTTGAGGACCTCTACTTCCTTCAAGGAGTTTAAGGCCACAGATGAGTGATTCACCCTCTTGTCCCTGCAGACAGAGTAGAATATGGGTGCTCTGGGTCAGAGAGATGGCTCAGTGGTTAAGAGCACCGGCTACTCTTGCAGGGGACCTGGGTTTAATTCCCAGCACCCACACGGTGGCTCACAACTGTCTGTAACTCCAGTTTGGGGGGATCTGATACCCTCTTCTGGCGTGCTCAGACCCTATAGCACACAGTGCACATACCTACATGCAGACAAAACATCCATCACATAGAATAAAGTACAATAGAATATAGATGTGCTGGGTGGGTTAGGGTCTCAGAGGGAAATTGGAGCATACTTGGGAAATATTTGTAGAATTTAATAAAGGGACTATTTACAGCAGGACTTGGGGACACCTCAAGGGACAGAGCAGGGTTTGAGAACCACAAGGATATATAGTCACCCCAGCCCAGAAAGCAAATAGGAGAATGGGCAGGAGAGGGTGCTTAACCTCCTACTGACCTGTAAGTATTGCCAACAGCTGAACCCAGTTACAGAGTGGCAGGTCACTGGGGTGGTGGGATGGGGTGGTTCAGCAGGTAGGGAAGGAGCCGTCCTGCCCTCTCTTCAGTCATCAAATGTCACATGGGTTGGAAGGCAGGTCAGGCATGAAGAGACTATAACCAGACTAAAGACAGGAATAAGGACTCAGTTAGCCAGGGCGGGGCCAACCCAGGTGAATCACTCCAGCTGGGATGTTAAGAACTAAGCAGTCCGCAATCCACACCAGAAGTAACTCTGCATCCCCACCCCCACTCCTCCATCCTACCCCCAACCCCTGCATTCATAGTCCCTTCCAGAAACAAAACAAAAAAACAGGGTTTCTGTGTTGTACTCAGCTGCAGTTCCAATATGCTTTTATCGCCCTCTATTGTCAGACATCATACATTACAGCCAGTAGGAGCCCTTTCTGTTTCCAGTACTGCCAAGACTTGGAGTAGTCAGATCAGTCACATCCCTGTAGCCACTCTTTGGCTCTTTTCCCGCCTTGGTGGGGAGAGAGGGCAACAGCTAGTCTTTCTCAGTGCCATTCTCGGGCCCATTTGGCTGCCCCAGGGATCCCTGCCCATAGCACTACTGGCCTCTGCTTACTATCATGCAGTAGGATGCCTGAGGTATGCTCCGGACTTGAGAGAAGCTGATGGGAAGCAGTGGGCTGATGGCCAGGCTCTGGGTACCGAGTGGAAGAGTGAGTCTCTGCTATCTCTCTGCTGCAGAGTGTGGGGGCAGGCTGAAGGCTGAAGTGCAGACCAAAGAGCTCTATTCTCACGCCCAGTTTGGGGACAACAACTACCCAAGCCAGGCCCGCTGTGACTGGGTGATAGTGGCCGAGGATGGCTACGGCGTGGAGCTAATATTCCAGACCTTTGAAGTCGAGGAAGAGGCAGACTGTGGCTATGATTACATGGAGGCCTATGATGGCTACGACAGCTCGGCACCCAGGCTCGGCCGCTTCTGTGGCTCAGGGGTGAGTCTGAGGGATGTCCAGGCTACCTCCTGACGTCACACCTAGAGAGAATCCTGCCACCGTGAGCCACAGCCAGCTTGCTGTGGCAGAGGGGAAAAGAGATTCCACTGAGACAGGTCAGGAGGCAGACAGGGGTCTTCCAGTGACACAAAGGACATTATCAGCCGTGGAAGAACACTCTGTCCTTTCTCACTTTGCCTCTGTTTTTGAGTCCTCTCTCCCATTTTCATCTGGCCTTTGGGTTTTAATAATTCATTATGTTTGTATATATTCACCATGTTTACGGTTTTTAGCATAAACAAAGCCAAGTGTCTATGAAGGTTACAGATCATCCTTGGTATAAACACAGTGTTTATATTCAAGGTCATTACTTTTCTCTTTACTACTCACTTCCTGGGTTCACTATATCTCCAGCACCCGACTTAGGGTGTACATACAGTCTGTACTCAGGGGGTGTACAGGAACAAGTGAATACAACGTCCTGGCCACTGCCCAGCCACGCCACACGATACACCATCTGCCCTGGGCTTCAACCCCTGTCTCTGCTGATGGCCCACAATTCTTTGCTGTTGCCTGGGCTTATGCAAATCATGTTGGAATCACCACTGCTCCCAGTGCTAAACAGACATTCAGCCTGGTGTTCATGCTCTCCAAAAGAAAGAACAACCCAATGAGACCACCTGATACACTGCCTTTGATGCAATTTCTGAAACCAAGGAGTCCATGGAGAGGGGCCCCTCAAAGATCTTAATTAGCAGGGAGGCTCCTTTGGCATCCCTAGGCTCTGGCAGGCAGTGACCTTGGCATCTGGCTCTAACCCTATTCCAGACCACCTGGCAGAAGCCCCCTGGCAAATGTAGCAGCTCCACCCACTTGCTGGCCATGGCAGAATGTAGACCTGAACAGTGGTCTTCATGTCGACTTTCCTGGCAGACACGTCGTAACGTTAAAAATCACAGAGCAGGAGATCCACAGTACAAACTTCACAATCAGAAAGAGCTTGGGTCCTGCTGACCTGTGTGAACCTAAGTCTTAGGTCCCACACATGTAAAATGGAGTCAGTACCTGCCTTATCACACACTTGTGAAGTTTGCATTAGACGAGATCTGGGTGTGGTTAGCATAGTGCCAGAGCCCTGATAGCACGCAGATGCTGAAGGTACTATGTGTCTAGGCTCAGCTTTGTAAAGCAGGGCCCAAGGAATCTTTCTTTGATGGGTGCCCATCAGAGCCACTGGTGACCTCATGGCAGCCATGGCCATCCTTGGGCAATATCTCGGTACACCAACAATAACAGACTGACCTAAAATCTAGCTTTCCTTTTTCTTTCCCCCAGCCTTTAGAGGAAATCTACTCTGCAGGGGATTCGCTGATGATCCGATTCCACACAGATGACACCATCAACAAGAAAGGCTTTCATGCCCGATACACCAGCACCAAGTTCCAGGATGCCTTGCACATGAGGAAATAGCTCCAAGGTGCGGGGAAGACAGAGACTAAGGATGCTTTAAACACCTGTGAACAAGCAGCCCCCGGTGTACAGTATTTTTTTCAACAACAAAAGCTCACACTGTATCCTTGAAACCATGTATCTGGATGAAAGTACATGCCTTTGGCCATTGGTTCTAGCTGCAGTGTTATCAACTGCAGCTTCTAAAGGACGGTAAAACTTGAAGTTAGTGACAAACAAGCTGGGCTTCTTTACACTTGTTCTCCAGTCCTTGCTCCTATGGGGCAAAAGGACAGCCTGGGCTACCCCTTCCTCATCTCTGGACTGGCTCCCATGGGTGACAGGCAGCATGAGCCTATCCTGATGACTTGGCTGCCTGCCTTCCGTTAGCACTGGGCATCGAGAATAAAATCTTGGCAGTGGCTGAGTTGTGACAGGTGGGGCTGCAAGGCTTTCCTTAGCTCTTCCAGAGTCCAGCCAATCAGGAAGCCCAAGACTATTGACACAAGAGTCATGCCAGTGCACAGAGAGGAGGCTTAGCCCAGAGAACCAGCTTCATGGAGTTGGAAGACCTCGAGCCTTTCCCTGTTGCTGGCCATCCTTACCTTCTCTAGGGTGCTCCTATCATTAGTCTCCATTCATGAGAGAGAATCCATGGTCACTCCCAGCAGAGCACTCGCTGGTGAGCACCCCAGCTGGGATGACTCTTAGAGGCTGAGAGGAGGCACCTGCTCTAGGGAACTTTGACCCCTGGACAGCCGGTTCAAGCAGCATCTGCAAGACTTGCCATGTCATCTCAGGAGCAATTCAGGTCTCACTAGGTGGAAACTAGTAATTCCATGTTATGTGAGAGTCGTCATCTTCTGGAACAAGTTGGTCTGTGGCACACTTCATGTGACCAGCCAGGTTAAAGAGTGCATTGGCAACTATGCTGCCATTAAGCAGGGTGCAGCCATCAACTTGCACTCACAATTGTCAACACTCTGGCACTTGCTCTAGAGAAGTGTAGAGGGTGATGTTTACATATCTCTAGCACCTCAAAGCATAATTGAAATAGGTAGTTTTGAACGGCATTTCATTAAGGCATCTCTGGGCATTATGAGCTAAAAGATGTGGTATGTTAGCTTTATACGAGCATTTATGTTGAAATAAGTTTAAAAGAATGTTTACATAACCGCAAGTCCTGTTGGGTTGGTGGTGAACACAGGCAGTGCAGGAGAGTGTTTCCCTTAGAGGTGGCATAGCTCCCAAGCACCAGAATTCCTTTGTGATGGACCATCGCCTTAAACAAAGGGTTTGTGAGAGCTGATGGTTTTTCTTTTTTAAAAGGATCATAGTACACCAACCAGAGGATGACATCCTACTGAAATGACTGTTGGGAGCAAAAGCCAGAGTGGTACAAAGAAAGGGGAAGGGAAATGCATGGGAGTCTTTTGTTCTTAAACAAACAAACAAACAAATCCAAGTGTTATTATTAATAATAATATATGTCTGTATATACGTATCTATGTTTGTGTGTAAGGATCAGCTATCAAAGCCTTAATCAGGGCAGTGTGACAGTACCAGCCCTCTGGCTGTGGCCTATCACCAGATCCGGTGCTGGCTCCAAACTTCACCCTTCTCCCTTTACAACCGAGATCTCTTCCAGCTTCTTTTGGCTCTGAACTGAGTCTCAGCCTCCTCGTGACTTGATTGCTGGCACACCCACCCAGGGAGAGCTTTATACAGCAAAAGACACAGCGTATCCCATTGTTCTGGTAAATCCCATTTCTCTGGAGTGTGTGTGTGTGTGTGTGTGTGTGTGTGTGTGTGTAGGTTTTATTTTTGTCTCATTTTGTCTGTCAAGGGTGGAACAGGAATCGTGATGCATAAGGTATCTGTCACCAACCTCACTCCACAGAGATAAAAATTCTGTATTTTTAACCTTTAGAAGTCTAAATAAGATTGACAAATTCCATGGAAAGTGGGAGGTGGGGGAGAGATAGGGTTTGTCATCCTGGTGACACACTGATAATTCTTTTAGTGTGAATCTTTTCAGAAGCACACAGCTTCAGCAGCACCCAACTTACGACAATGCGGCTCTTGTGGATGCCTCTATTTAGGCCTGTGAATGACACATTCCCAGAAGACAGCCCCTGATTCAACAAGGGGGCCCCTTCTCTGGAAGCTGACACCCACAGGAATTCACACATGACACAGAAAACCACAGGCTGGCTTCCAAGAACAGTGCCCCCACTTTGGCCCTCCCAATTGCTCCGTGGTCTTTCTGAAACTGTCCCTGGATGTGTATGGACAAAGTGGCTAGAGGATAATCCTTCGGTTGACCTTCCCTTTTATCTGGGATCCAGCCTGTGGGTGTCATTAGCTCTAAGACCCAAGAACTGCATTTGGGACACATGACCTAGGGAAGTATATGGGTCTCCAAGTTCAAATTCTAGTGTACTGTGAATTAGCAGAAGCTAGAACCTGCACCCCAGGGCGGAAACTCCAAACCACTGAGATGAGGCTGTGTATCAATCCACTGTTTTCTGTAAGCTCCCCTCAGTGTCCCTCTCCACAGTCATGCTATTCGTTATGATATTCATAAATCGCTCAGCCTGTTTACATAATTCTCTAAACACAGCAAGTTCACAAAAGAATATGCCATCAGTTAGGCCGTTTGCTTCTTTTTAGAGTTCTTGGTATTGTTCATGGAGTTTGGGAGGAGATGGTCCCTTAGCATCCATAGATGTTGTCAAAGTTTGCTTTGTAGATTGTGATCAAACGTTTGATCAGAACCACCCCCCCAATCTAAAAAGGTTCTTAAAAAAAGAAAAGTGTTATCTATACATATAAGGGTATTTTTTTTTATTTTGAGTAACTACATTTCATGTAAAGTATCAGGTGGCAGGAACATGGGGAGATTGTAGTCCTTGTCTGAAAATGATGTTTCATTAAAGAATGTGGATTTGATGCAGGATTGTTCTGGGTCTCTGTTACCAGTTCAGACAACACTGGGCTTTAAAAAAAATGTATTTATTTTTATGTTTGTGTTTGAGGTGTTTGCCTACATGTATGTATGTGTACTGTGTATATGCCTAGTGTCCTCGGAGGTCAAAAGAAGGCATACACGAGTCCCTGGAACTGGAATTACAGACAGTTGTGAGTCGCCAATATGGGTGCTGGGAACTGGACTCAGGTCCTCTTCAAGAGCAACGAATGCTCTTAACTGCTGAGCCGCCTCTCCAGTCTCCATTACTGACATTTTAGGGAAACATTTGGGAAAATCAGACCAAGCCCATTTTGATAGTATTTTTGGACTGTACATTGTCAAGGTGAAACCCTGGCCCCCTGGTGGTGATATTAGGGGTGAGCCTTTGAGGAATGACAGCTCCCTTTCCCTGTCATTATTGAGAGAAAGCAAGGACATGGCTATCCATGGCCCAGACATGGACCCTTATCACACAGCCACATTGCTGGGACCTTGACCTTGGACTTGACAGGTCCCAGAAGTGTGCGTGCGCGCACACACACACACACACACACACACACACACACACACACACCCTAGTGTTTATGAGACGCCCAGGATATGGAATATGGAATTCTCTCAACCTAGGTAGCCACTTAGTATTTAGACAAGGACAGCTTTTTAAGATGACCAAACTCTTGCCTAGTAAATCACTGGTGTGAGTAGGTGTGTCCAAACTTAAATACTGGAAACTATAAATGTTCAAGCCCCAAACTTAAAATGGTTGGACTGAACTGGACAGTTTTAGAAATAAAACCTTTACGATGATGCAAAAATGATATACATTTAGTAGAAACTATGCTTCCAATTTTTTTATTTTCATTTTTAACTGGGCAAGCAATATGTGGTAAGATCATCTCTCGTGGCACCATGTGATCACTAGTGGCACCAGAATGACTAAGCTGTGAGGTTGGGGTGGGGGTTGATGTGTTCCATGAATTTTTGACATGCTATTTCCAACTCACAGTAGGGCTGTTGGGCATAACTGCCTTGTAAATCAAGGGGCTTCGGTACCCTGGGGGTGGGGTGGGGGGCTGCTGGCCTCGGTCATCTTCTCTACTTGGTGGAACACATTCAAGTGTATTTTGCAAATCCACCTCTGGGCATCGAAGGGACCTGCACTGGGGAAAGCATGATGCAGTCTTCTTTAGCATGTGACTCACTCCAGACCAAACGTGTCCTCCTGTAAAGAGTAAGCCCCCCCCCCCCCGCTGACTGGTCTGGTCCCACCGCCGCGCCAGCCCCAATTAATACACCGAGATTCTGTATTTAATATAATGCTGTTGGCCAGTTACTTGTTTCTTATCGACTAGCTCTGTCTTAAGTATTAACCCATTTCTGTTAATCTACATATTTCCACGTGCTTTCATCTTACCGGGGAATGGGGCCTGCGGCTGGTCTCCCCAGTCTCTCCATCTTGACTCCTTGTCTCCTAGTCCCACCTATCTTGCTTTCCTATTGGCCAACAGTGCTTTATTTATTAACCAGTATGAGAAACTGGAATGAAAGTCTTGATCAGTGGGCAAAAGGGTGAAGACATTTCAGAGCACACTTAATCGAAGGTGCCAACCTTCCAAAGAGATGGCATGCCCATCGGGGGATTGCTGGGGACCTGTGAGTATATTATGGAAAGAATCAGAGAGATCCCAGTGGCCTTGTGCATCCACAGCCAGGCTACAGGACACCGGCCAAGGTCGTTGATAAAGTTCTCCTGTCCACCTACAACTCTATGTCCTGCAAGAAAATCTAGCTGCCTGGCTTGAACAGTCTACAGATTCAGAGGTGGAGACTGGCTGAGCACTCTTAGCTCCTACAGAAGCAGCTGTGGCTTTAAGTCCAGGTCTCACTGTGTTGACTCTGTGACTTTTAAGTACCATTACATTTAGTTTAGACAGTCACTGTGTGTTGCTGGATAATCCTTTTGTACACTGCGAAGATGTGTCTCTGCCTAAGGCACCTTTTGATTGGTTTAATAAAGAGCTGAATGGCCAATAGCTAAGCAGGACAGAGTAGGTGGGACTTCCAGGGAAAGAGATGAACTTGGGGAGAATCTGAGGTGTGTGGAATTAAGCCATCGAGACTTGGAGGGACTGGGCATACAGAACGGAGGAGAGGAAAAGAGCCACATGGCAGAATGGAGATGAATAGAAATTGGTTAGTTTAAGTTAGAAGGGCTAGCCAGGAACAAGACTAAGCTAAAGCCAAGATTTCATAATTAATAATAAGTTTCTGTGTCATTATTTGGGCAGCCAAAAATAAGTCTGTCTACAACTGTCATCTTGGGAAGTGGAAGCCTCCAGAGACAGAGGCCACATAGGTCTTGTCCAGTAGAGGGATCCAATGCCTGGCACATTTCAGGTGACTGATGGCAACAATGACTGTTGCCCCTAACTATTCATTAGCATCTTGGAAACACCCCGACCTGACTGGTTATTGGGATCAGAGCCTCTGAAGGTGGGGTCTTGGCACTAGAAAAATGTTCTGAGCGCCTATGGGATTGAGTACTCAGGTGGGATGAACCGCCCTCCTAGTCCAAGGCACTCCAGGCCCCTCCTAGTGTCACATGACACTGCTCTGTGTGCTGAGCCAGCCTGCGGTCTGTGCATGTGCTCACACCAGCCTGAGATTCTAAGTGCACACCAAGCTGAAGTCTGTGTGGATGTCACGCCTACAGGTTTGTGTCCCTCCAGGCCTGCTCCAGCCCTCCTGACCATTTCGGCTTTCCTTCACTCTAGTGTCCTCTCTTGGTGGCTTTGATGAAGTGACCAGTTAATTTATTATAATTCTTTTTTGTTAGTAACTCACTAGTTTTGTGTGCTTGTATGTATGTGGCACATGATCTTTGTGTGTGTGTTTGCCTGTGTGTGCGTGTGTGGAGGCTAGAGGTTGATGTGGTGTTGGCCTCCTCTATCTCTCTGCACCTTAGTTTTTGAGGGGGAGTCTCTTAACTGACTCTGGGGTTCATGAGTTCAGCTAGGCAGGCTGGTCAGTGAGTTCCAGGGATGTAGGGATCACCTCTCCCTGCCTCCCCCTCCCTTCAGTACTTGGCAGGCATCTACGGGCTGAGCTATCTCTCCAGCCCTACAACTCACTATTTTAAGAAGCATACTCATGACAGAAATCATAAGCTATTGGAAGCAGCCTCAGCTCTAAGAGACTAGGGCTCAGGATGCAAGGACAGAAAGCTGGAGGCTGGCCTGGACCAGTGGGTGTGTTGTCCACTGCAGTAGCCATAGCCCTGCCTCACACAGAGTGTTCTCAGCACCTCTCATGTAGAAGATATGCCTTGTGCTGATACTGATGTCCTGTTGCCCGTGTTTAGTGTGATGCCTTTCAGCTGGGGTAGAACAGTTAACCACAGTCAATTTGTCCTTTGTAAACAAGATTTAATTCATTTCATCTATGTCTGTGTGTGTTTGTGTGAGTGCACACATGTGTGTGTTGTGTGTCAGTGTCCACAGAGGTCAGAAGAAGATGTAGGATCCCCTGGAACTGTAGTGTCAGTGTTGTGAGCTGTCTAAAGGGAATGCTAGGAACGGAACTCCAGACCTCTGCGAGAGTAGTGTGTGATCTCAACTACTGAGCTGTCTCTCCAGCCCTGTCACCCATTGTTTCTAATGAGCTGCCAGCTGCCATCTCACACTAGCTTGTGACTTCTTTGCTGCAAAGTAAAGAGCACAGAAAATAAAACCAAAACGAAGGACAGCTCGAGCCAAGGCAGTATGCAGGGGACAGAAGCTCATCAGCTGGGCTTGGCTACTCCCCTGACCATACATGGCATGGCAAGGGCTTTCCTGGGACTACCTCTAGCCCAGCCTCCCCAGCATTCCCGGCCGGTGTCCTACAAATGGGAGACACTGGCCAACAGCACCAGTGACAGAGAAGCTTGCAAAGGCGCCTGTTAGAGATGGTGAGTAAGAGTTGCCTTTTCCCCACCTACCTTTCTTTCTCTCACTGTAAGCCAATTCCAAGACCCTACGGCTCAAGTCTCCTGGTTCAATGCCTGTAACTCTACCTTTTAATTTTTTCCCCTAGGTACAAAATACTGCTTAAAAATTTTCATTGCATCTGTGCTGATCTCAACTTTTATTTGATGTGAAACTTTTCCTGTTCAGCCAGGATGCAGGGGAGGTGTTTGAGCTCTCTTTGTTTCTTGATGGCAGCCTTGGGTTCAGATCAGCGATCTCATCTTTGCTTGTTCAACCTTCTGCCTGCTGCTTTCTCAGTGGCATGGGCCAGAAGCTCTTCACCTTTTTTTTTTTATACTGATATGTGATACCTGTTTGGTGTGACTCACACAGGGGAAGGAAGTTTGCTCAACGAGGAAGGAAATCTTCAGCAGTTTCTTTTTTCCTGTGTGCAAACACTAGACTGCATAGATGCATAAAATCACATACACACACACACACACACACACATATATATATATACATATACATATATATGTACATATATATGTGAATGTATATATACATATGAATATAAGTGATTATATACATATAGATTATATATGTGGATTATATTCATGTATATATATCTGTATATATATATATATATAGAGAGAGAGAGAGAGAGAGACTTGAAAGTAGAAGTGAAACTATCTAGAAGTGATAAAAGGGGAAGATAGTGGGCAAGAAGAGCATGCTCAAAGTACATTATATATTTATATGAAAATTACTTGTACAATATATAACATAAAAGTATGTAATAGTATATAACATATAATAAATGTTATTACAATTGAAAAGTCAGGATGGCTTTGATTATAAATATTGGTTTATAATTGCTAGTTTTTTTTTTTTTTTTTTTTTTTTTTTTTACTTATTCTAGGAAGAAAACCACAAAGTAAGAAATAGAAGCCAAACTCTTGCCAAACTGTGCTTATTTATCACCTCATTTCTGGAAATTAGATTTGTTTCAGCAGAGTGTCTCAGATGGGTTGAATCGAGATGAGGGATCAACTCTTTCATTAATATGATGATTTCAGAGTCATTGTGAACCAAGATCAAGTTGTTGAAGGGTATACTGAAGTAGTTTGTGTACTAGAAACATCTCTGGTTCAATGCCACTAAAATTTGTGAACTCTTCTGAAAATAACCCAGGTGACTGTCAATGGATGAGTTACTAAAGAAATGGTGGAATACCTATACTAAATATATATTCAATATATGTGTGTGTGTTTACATATGTATGCAAATGATGTTCTTGGCTGAATATTATCCAGCCCTTACGGATGTGATCCTGAAGTTTGCCACAACCTTGAGGGGCTGGAGAATATTATGCTGAAGGAGGTATGTCATACATAACTATTGCAGATCTCACACAGAATTTAAACAGAAGTGATGAGAAGTCACAGGAGTTAGGAAAACCAGTTAATATTTAACCCTGACCTCTGGAAACCTTGGTCTAGGTTTCCACACCTTGATTGCAGGAATAGCTCTGTCCTTCAGGGGAGTCATCAGAATAGAGTCAATGGCAGTAACTGTCCTGTTCCCTCTTCCCCCTCACAGGAATCAAACCCCTGAGGGGTACTCAGCCTCACAAGAGGCCAAGGGTCTTCAGAAACATTCTATAGATGTGACAGTGACCCACAATGCGGTCCCCTTGGCTATGGCTGCTTGATGCTAACAGTTACATCTGACAAGCACATGCTGAGCGGCTTCCCCATGTCATGTTAAAGAATATGACATCGTGTGAGTCCCGTCACATCCAGAACATTTGCAGGTTGGAAGGAGCTGCCACAGAGGGTGTATCCCTTGAGATTTTCCTGGGAAACGGGCAGGGCAAGCGGACAGTATCCCATTTTCAGAATGGAAAAACTGGGCCTGGCATGATAGAGGGGCTGTGAGGGTATAGAGACAAGAAAATTTGTCTTCTCCAAGTCCATACAACCTCAAAGTGGCAAAGGCTGTACCCAAACCTAGATCATGTGGCTCAGGGCCTAGGGTTACTTCACCCCACCCAGCTGCATCTCTAGAGGGCACTGTGCCATCCTTTCCTCTCCATGACAGCATGGCACTGTGTTTCTACAAAATATGAAAGTCTTTCTGAAATTGGCCAGAACCCTCGTCATCTGAATGCCGGTAAACAGTGCATGCAAAGGCCCACTTGTCTGCAGTTCTCGTCCTCCGCCTCTCCCAAAGGAAGCTTTGTCTGTGGCCCCTGACATCATCACTGAGATAGATCAGTACAGCTGCATACACCATAGTGATCGGCGAGTGCCCTTGGGGCAGCTGTAGGCTCGGGTAGCATCAGCTTGAAAGGCAGTGGTTGGAGCCCTTGGGCAAGGAGACCCTGATCTGAGAGTCCCAGATGCCACCCAGGCTCTAGTAGTCCAGGGAGACATGTGTTGCCTCACCTGTAGAAACTGGGAGGTTGCAGGGAAGTCCTGGGGTGTGGTAGGGAAAAGTCACCAGAGGGTTGGGTTCTGATGACAGCTGACTTCGCTGCATGATAACCCATTCACAGGTTTGGCAGAGCCGTGACGTATGAGGGGCTGTCTTAAAAAGGACATACTCTTTGGGGTGGGGACAGGGGAGGTTACAGGTTCTTAAAACATTTTATGTTCTCCGAGGATTTTCCCATTCTTTAGCCCACGTGACTTCCAGACTTCAGACGATTGGGTTTTCTTGGTTTTGCACGGGTAGGCTGTGTGACCTGAACCCAGCCTTGGGCTGTCTGACCTGGATCCAGGACCAGGATCAGCCGCAAGGAGCTCCAACTATCCTGACCTGTTCATGACATGACTTCCCATGAGTCCCTGGGCCTCACTCTTCTATCCCTTGCAACGAAGTCCTGGGGAATGAAATGACCTTTGTGGTCCATATGTTCGCATTCTTTGGGATACTTTAATTTTTTTTTCTAGTGTGCTCATGCCATGGAAGGTATGTGTGGGTCAGAGAACAACTTAGTGGAGTTGGTTCTCTTTTTATGTAGGTCCAGGGGTGGAACTCAGGCCATCAGGCTTGTGGGGCAAGTACTTTTATCTGCTGAGCTGTCTCCCTGTCTCCACCCAGTATTTCTGTCGTCAGAAAACATTTAATGTTAAAATTGAGCAAATGTGTTGCTGAGTGAGTGACAGACCCAGTCTTGGGGGGCTGCAGGGGAGATCAAGAGCTGGGGGGCAGGAGGAACCAGGATGTCAGGAGGAGGGACTAGAGGAGGGCCCAGCCAGGAGCCAGGAGCAAGGCTGGGTGAAAGTCCAGGAGGTAGAGATCAGAGACGGGGCCAGGGAAGGCCCCTGGCTAAGCCATAGCAGGGTTCACCGATTGCTTCCAGCAGCAGGGAAGGAAATTGATAGAGCACCCTGGAAAGATGCGGCGAGCAGCCCAAACTGGAAGGATGGGGCAGGGCTGAGGAAGCAGAACGGAGCCACCAGCGGCCTTGGCGGGAGCTTACCCTGAAAAGAGGTGTGTGCAGGAAATTCGGAATGTTGTGCAGTGGAAAGTTTGTATGTTGATTACACTCAGCAGGGAGGGATAAGCCAGGTGCAGAGGGAGACCCTGGGGGGACCGGGGTGAGTGCAGCTCCCTGCGACCCTGAGACCCTGACCATTCAGCTCATAGCCAGAGCCTCAGCTCAGACTTTGTAAAGCTGCAGCCTCCTCTCTATGGTTAACTCTCCTGAGAAGGTGGTTAATAGCGTTTACATCATACTCTTTGCTGGAGCTGATCTGCTTTAAGCTGGAAATATTCCTAAGTGCTTCTCAATTCTCAGTTCTCCCCTTGAAAGGCATTCTGGGAAAAAAAAACTATTTCCTGTGTTTTGATGAGACCCCCAGCCTGGCCCTGGCCGCAGAGCTGGAGGGGAGAAGGAGAACCCACAGCCATTGGACAGCTCCCCACTATCCCAGGCTCCTGTACTGACTGTTCCTAGGCTGACACTGGGAACTGAGAAGGCCCAGTGAAGCCCATCTCTGCCTTAAGTTCACCTTTGCCAGGCTTGGAGGCAGAGGTTCCGGAGTTTGCGAACCGTTGCTGGGAGTTTTAATGTTTCTTTCTTTCTTGCAGAGTTTTTCACTAAACTTCACACTGCCGGCGAATACAGTAAGTGGAGTGGTCAGACCCCCATCTCCGGGGAAGTGGGAGAAGGTCAAAGCAGAACTTACAGTGGCCTCGGGAACCCTCTAGCACATGCCATGAATATTGTGATAAAGTCTGTGCTGAGTGTCTGAGAGCAACATTTGTTTGAATTTAAATCATCCACCGTGGTGTGTGTGTGTGTGTGTGTGTGTGTGTGTGTGTGTGTGTGTGTAGGGGTATCAGCATACATGTGCCGTATCTTGTGTAGAACAACTTGCTGGAGGGAGCCAGTCCTCTCCTTCCATCATGTGGGTTCAGGGACTGAACTCAGGTTGTGAGGCTTGGCAGCGAGCTCCCCACCCACTAAGCCATGTCGCCGTCCCTGAGAGCAATGTTTTTCTCTTTAAAAACTATCAGTACATTTTGAAAAAGAAAATGAAACCCCTAAATTCCCATCAGTAGAAAACACCAGCACAGCGCCCCCTGCTGTCTGACTTTACAGGCACTCTGACTTATTCTTCCCAATGTGCGATCTTACTCTACATACAATTTTTGTGCCTTAAACATTTTCCATCAGTCTTTATAACCACAACTGAGGATAGTCGCGCGTTATTTCTCCAAGTGATTTGTTTTATGTAACGATTACAGACAGGAGTAACAGTGTGACGAGCGTTATTACAGAGAAGACTTGTCTGTAGTTTGCTTTTTTGAGACAAGGACTCCGTGTAGCTCTGATTGGCCTTGAGCCTACAGTGAGTGCCCCGACCCCCACCTCCTTATTGCATGCGCCACTATGTCTGGCTGCATCTGTGTTTGAGATTACTTCCCAAGTATGGGATGGGCATTTTCAGTGGGTGAGGCCTTGCTACGTCTGTAACCTAGGGCTGTGTTACCTTACACAAGTCCCTTCCCTTCCCTGTGCCTTGTTCTTCCCATCTGTAAAATGGTCCTGCTCACGGGGTGCTGTGAGATGTGGGTCAGTCAATTTGGGAAAGGGGTTTGGGCGGCCTGGCACACAATGGATGCTTCATAAGCATTAGATGTGCAATTAACAGGTGCTCATGAGAGCAGAAATCCCATCAGGAGAAACAGGAAGTAAACAGGAAGGCAGCCATGCTGCCTGAGAGAAATGGAGAGAGGGAAGCCTCACCCAAGTTCCCCTTCCTACCTCTAGGCTCTAGAGAAGCCAGCCTGTTTGCCTCTCCCTCTCCCTCTCTCTCTCCCCCTGCCTCTCCGTCTCTCCAACACACACACACACACACACACACACACACACACACACACACACACACACACACACACACACACACACTGGGCTCCAACAGCCTTGAACTCAAGAACTCTCTCTGCCTCTGTCTTCCAAGTGCTTGAGATTCAAGGTGTGTACTCACTATACCTGATATGCTTTTATTTTTTTGCTCTGGCCAGTCTTGGCAAATTTATGTACTTTGAAGACAGACTACCTTACCTAAAACAATAGTTGATTCTTGCTGCCCTCCTCAGAAAGACAATACTTGAAACTGATACTAGGGTGTGGGGTGGTGTTTATGTGAAAATAGCCTCCTGCAGGGCAACAGGCAGCTCTGCCTGTTGATGATGAGCTCACTAGGAAAGAGGTCTGTCCTGAAGCTCAAATGCTCAAGGTCAGGGTCTGCTCTTCTATGCAGACTTGGTTCTGAGTAGTGAAAGCTCTCTGAGGCCCTTTCTGCCGTTCTCACAGATGCTAACTGTAGAAAGCCGAGAGGGCTAAATAAAAATAGACTGACTAGTGCTGTTATCCTAAGGTCGAAATTGTGGTGCTTATGTGATCACTAAAACCTCCAGAGGCAGCTATTACTGTCCCTATTTTACTTAGTTTCCTTCTTCCATTTCCATGCATGTATATGCAGTATACCTTCATGTTTCACATGTGGATGTATGCACACATGTGTGTACCCACAGTTGGTGTTAGGAATCATCCTTCATGACTCCTCCACTTTATTCAGTGACGAAGGATCTCTCAGATTAAGCCCAGACCCCACTGGCTCGGCTATGGCTGCTGTTGCTTACAGGAAGATCATGACTCCCACCAGGCACTTACATGGGTTCTGGGGATTTGAATTCTGGTCCTAAAACTTAGTCACTGAGCCACCCCACCCCCACCCACGGCCACTGATTGCCTTATTTTAGATGAAGAGATGAGATGAGACCCTGAGGCTTCTGGGCAGAGGAAGGAGCATCCCACTGCAGGTAGTATAAGCCCTCAACCTGTGATCAGTTTAGCCCTGTTCGTGGTGCTAGGAATCCCGTGCACGCCGAGCTGGTACCCTACCACTGAGCCCCCAGGACCCAGGATGATGCCACATAACATAGTATACACAGTTGCTTGTATAAAGCGCACTTGAACTACCTCAGACAGGGGTGACATGCAGCACCCCACCTTCCTCAAGTGGAAACGTGGACCAGAAAGTGTGGGCTCATCCCAGGCCAGTGGACATTCCACAGACGCCATTGCTGTACTGTAGGGTTGGAAACAGGCATGGCTTCCTTAAGAAGCTTCCTAACAAAGCCTTACTGCAGTGCTTCTATTTTCTCCTGTGGGGAAAAATGGGCTGAAGTGTGCTGGCCCCAGCATGAAGGCTCGGGACAGGAGGTGTAGAATGTGTTACCGCAGATTCACCAGGTAGCTAGTGAAGGCGTCATTTGACTTTTGGAATTTGTTTCCTCCTAGCCTAGTTTCACTCTAGCCCTTACCTGGGAAGTGCTCACACAAGGCTCCGCAGTTGCTGTTGCTAACCCTTTAGTGGAAAGGTGACTCTGCCTTTGACAGGATGCTTTGCGTGGTGTTTGCTCTATGGATTTCCTTTTCACATCCCATATTCTCTTTTCACACAGACTTCCTCTCCAGTTGCCACGAGTGCCAAAGCCGATGTAAGTGTCCGCTTCAGTGACCCAGACTTGGTTCTGTCATCTGTGAGGGTACAAATGCTCTCACCATCTCTTGCATTTGTTTTGATGATTAAAGTTTGACCTGTGTACTGTCGCCAAGCCCACAACTAGACTCCGTAATTATTCTTATAGCCACCTCTATCCAAAACAAGAGAGAGAATGTAAAACCACAGACTGTGGAATCACAGAGATGGCTCAGCAGTTACGAGTACTTACATAAGACCTCTGTTCGATTCCCAGCACCAACACAGTAGCTCACAACTGCCTGTAACCTAGTCTTGAGAATCGTGCTCCCTCTTCTGACCTCTCCAGACTGAGGTGTGCACACACACACACACACACACACACACACACACACACACACACACACTAAAATAAACATTAAAACACATAAACATACATGTGCACAGGCAAATTCACAGAGTTTGGAGAAAAGCAGCCAGGTGTAAAAGTGTCCATACCTGTGTTTATGTCTGTATGTTAAAAACCAGACAAAACCTATCTACAGTGATAGACTTCAGGAAAATGGTCACATGTGGGGGATGGGGAGCATGCTAGGTCTTGATGTGAACACCAGTTATATGTATGAAACGTCATTCTGAAAATAACCTTCAGTCTGTATATTTGTGACATGGATTTCCACCCTGTATACCATCACATCCTACTATGAAAGTCTTCGTTAAATTTGTTGCATATTTATAGGGATTTGCATATTGTCTTTAGTATTTCCAGGAAAAATATCTGCAAACCTGAAATCTTGTGGTGATAAAAACATGACTATTACTATTCAGATCAAGATGGGTGTTTGAAAACTGGTTAATTTATTTGATATAGTTTTCAAAACTATATCAAATGTCGTAGGATATACCATTCTTTCTCTCTCTCTCTCTCTATATATATATATATATATATACATATATATATGTTATTCTTTTTAATACAATATTTTTATTTATCCTTTTAGAATTTCATGCACATGGACACTGTATTTCAATTGTATTCACTCCGCACTCTTAATTCCAGCTCTCCTCTAAGTCACCCTTGAAACTTCATGTCTTATTTTCTCTCTCTCTCTCTCTCTCTCTCTCTCTCTCTCTCTCTCTAATAACTTGCTGGATCCAGTTTGTGTTGCCCTTGTACACACAGTTTTAGGGACCATCCACTGGAGCATGGCCAACCTAGCAAGGTCCAAACCTCTAAAGAAAACTGGCTGTCCCTCTGCTGAACACCATCTATCTGACTGTCGCTATCTCCTCTGCTAGTTGTGGGAGCGCATGTGCCCCTCCCTGAACCATGCTAGACCGTTTACTGGCTTGATGGTGTGCAGGCATCTGCAGTTGCTGTGAGTTCATGCATGGGATGCTCCCGTCATGAGCAGAAGACACTGTTGCCCTGGTCTTCCTTGACTTCCTTTCCTCCCTACTCTTCTGAAACACTCCTTGAGCCTTAGTGGAGGAGGCAAAACATGGAAATTCTATTCACAACTGAGCACTGCACAGACAATTGTTCTCTGCGCTCTCACCAGATCTGAGTCTCTATGTGAGAAAAAACAGAAGTGACTTTTTCAGACTGAGGGTGAACATGGCATCTACCCGAGGCACTGAACTGTGCCTTGGCTGTTCTTCTTCTGAAAGGGTGCAGAAAGGATGCTTGTGTTTCTGATTCCTGGGACTCCTGCTTAAATCACCTGTCTGTTTTTGTAGGAGATGATCACCATCCCAAATGGATTTAAACTATGTAAATTAGATTCCAGGAGAACAATTGACCAGTCACACATATTACAAATATCTTTTGAAATATTTCATTTCTCTAGTGCATCCAGGGCCCATGCATGTTGTTATTGTTGTTTGTTTTTAGCCACTGAAAGCATCCTCTATTCATGAAGAATCTGGGCTTCCCTGACTCTGTTTTATTTCTCTGTGCCAGGACTGTGGTCCCTCTATTGGACTAGCAGCTGGAATCCCATCCCTGCTGGCCACAGCCCTGCTGGTGGCCTTGCTGTTTACTTTGATTCAGCGAAGAAGAAGCATGGATGAGCCCATTGAGGTGATAGCTGCTTCTGTGGGTGTGGATGTGTAGCTTGAATCAGTATCTCAGTGAATTGGCCTCTGTCTGAAATAAGCATGACAGAACTCAGGACCTGTGTTGTTTCTGAGGACAAGGAGGTAGATGTTTCTGGACAGAATTGTCCTTCGCAGATTCAGGCAGAGCTGATTTGCACATAACTCTCTGGTCCTTGAACAAATCTCTGGTAATAAGATGTCATTTGGGGTGGCAAAAAAATAGGAATGGGGGGAGATAATTGAAGCCATGCAAACATATGTCTGTACAGTAGGGTGTTATTTACGCCAAGGGAGGAAAAGGCATAAGTTTCGTCATCAGATAGTAAGAATGTGAGGGGAAATAAGAGACGAAGAAATGCAGAAGTGTCTATGGAAAGGGTACATTAAGATCATGACCTTGTCCATTCCTGTGTCTGAGCATGGACCCCTGACAGCCCATACCGGTGTCACATTTGCTCTGGGGACCATGCATGGTTGCCCAGATCCATATCCAACAAGGTTTTACAGTATGATATACCTGTGGGAAGAGCCTCTGTTCTAAGTTCACTCTCTACTTATGAAGGATCATTGTTGTTTTCATACTGGTAGATATTAACACGGGGAGGCAGAAAGCCTGGTTCTAATCCTGCCCCTGAACTGTATGATTTATGTGAACCTGGACAAGTGACTCAACATTTCTATGCCTTGATTAGTTCAGCTCCTTAACAGGTGTCGTGAAACTCTCCTCTTAGGCTGGGGTGTAACTCATGACACAGTACACATACCTAGTACGTACAAGGCTATGGGATCCAACCCTAACCACAAACAACAATAATAAAATCTATACATAAACCTAAGCATAAACACTACCTATTCTAAGAGGTGGCAACAGTTGTAAGGATGACATGAGATAATGGGTTATATATACCACTACAGCATGTGTAGAGGCGTACCAGCAAGCTGGAAACTGGACACACCTCAAGAAGTATTATGGGCAGTGGTGGAATTATTTATTTAGGCAATAGTTTCTAAACTTTCAGGGCTCTTTAAAATGATCTGGAAGGCTAAAATATATCAATGACTAAGTTAATTAAATCGGGAGTTTCTGGGGCTGGAGAGACAGCTCAGTAGTTAAGAGCACTGATTGCTCTTCCAAAGGACCTGGATTTAACCCACACCTTGGCTCATAACCACTTGTAACTTTAGTGCCAAGGGATTCTGCACACTTTTCTGGTCTCCAAATGCATGTGGTACATAGACATACTGTCAGGCCAACATCCTAACACATACAACAAAATAAATGAAAGACTTTCTGGTGATAGAATTGTGTAATTGTTTGAAAAATATTGGGGGAGGGGCTTTGTTTGCTTATTTATGGTGGTGGGGCTTGGCCAGGACCTTTTCCATATATTTGTTAAATATCTCACCACTGGGCTGCACTCCCAACCCAACCCATGTTTTTATTGTATATATGGTCCCCCCAAACATCATCCACAAAGGATACATTTCAAGACCAGTTAGTAGTCACATGATACTGTGAGGTGTGCCTAACCCTTTTGTATGTACAAAAGTATGATAACAATAAGTTAGTCACACACAATAAAATTGACTTAAAATAGAGCAAGAAATATGAGTGAAGTCTCTTGACCTCTCTGTCAGTTGTCACAGGGCTGGTATCCTATATAGTGTGGATACACTGAGCAAGGGGATAGGATGAGGTTGGGTGGTTCAAGGTTTTGCTACGCTATTCAAAATGGAAGCTTAAAACTTTTGGCTTCTGGAATTTCCATGAATATCTTAAGATCCCAGTTGGCTACGCGGGGGGGAGGGGGGTTATTATGATGTTAGACATGCACTAATGTGGACAGTAGAGTACAGAGAACACAGTTATCAACTCATGGCCAATCCTGTTTCATCTCTCCTCCTGCTCACTTCATGATGCCAGCCCTGGATTATTTTTGAATAGTGATGCTTCTTGAGCCTATTCATTTAGCTCAAAGTAGGCGTGTCTGCTTTGCTTTAGAACCTTGTGACAATTCTAATGTGCACTGTGGTTTAAAACACAAAGGCTTGAATGGTTACAGCTATGGCCCTTCACTAGTTATGTATGTGTGTATTTATTTATTTTTAACCATTCTAGGAAAGTGAGAGACCATGTGAAATTTCAGAACTCTACGATGACAATCCCAAAATGTCGGAGGTAAGAACTCTTTATTATGAATCCACACGTGGCTGAAAGTGCAGCGAGCTCAGGATTTTAGACTGCACAAAGGTGCCATGTGAGACCCTTGGGAAGGAGGAGATTAACACAGTGAAAGCACAAAGGAGGTGAGCAGCTCGCCTTTACCGACCAGACAGGAATTCAAAGTTGATTTAACATTAGAAAATCAGGGCTGGGGGGTGGGGTGGTTGGACTGTAGCTCTGTGGTAAAATGCTGACCTAGCACACAAAGTCACTGGGTTCTATGCCCAGCACTGAAAATTAAAACAACGGCAAAAAAGGAAAATCAATTTAATATAATTTATTCAATGGACACATTAATAGGAGAAAAGTTTTTCATTGATAATAATTTTTTTCTTTAAATTTGAAACAAGCTTGTGAGAAAAGGGTTTTTAAAAAGGTAAGCCACTTATGATAAGAGCTCTTTATTCTTGTTTATTTATTGTGTGTGTGTGTGTGTGTGTTTGTGTGTTTGAGTATGTATACCATGGAATGTGTGTGGAGGTCAGAGGACATTTGAGGTATCATTTCCTGCTTTAATAAAAAAACACTCAACAATAGCTAAGCTATGATGGTTATATACTATGGTCCTGGAAGAGAAGACTCAGTATCATAAAGATGTCAAAGTTATGGCACTTCCAGTATCTGTATGATCAATGTAGTTATGGAGCTGGAGAGCAGTACAAAGCACTTACTGTTTTTTTTTTCAGAAGACTGGGGTTCAATTCCCTTCACCAATATGGCAGCTCACAATGATCTATAACTAATTCTAGGGCACCTGCACCCTTCTGACTGTCTCGGACTTAAAATGAGTAAACACAATTGTGATATAAATTCCAACACATTTCTCAGTAAGCTTAGTACAATTCTAAAGTTTATAGGGAACATGAGGAAACTAATTCAAAATGAATGTGTAGGACTGGAGAGATGGCTCAGCAGTTAAGAGCACTGGCTGCTCTTCCAGAGATCTTGAGTTCAATTCCTATTCTCCACATGATGGCTCACAACCATCTACAACCAGATTTTGTGTCCCCTTCTGGCATAAAGGTATACATGCAGGTGGAAAACTATACATAGTAAATAAATAAATTTTTTAAAAGAATTAACATGTAGAAAAATGAAAGGAAAAACAAGACAGTAGGCTTGAACCCTACTATATCAATGATCATATTCGATGCAAATGACCCACACAGCTCCAATTACAAGGCAGAGAGAGTCAGTTTGGCCATAAAAGCAATATAAAGACTTGACTAGATTAAAAGTTAAATGATGAAGACATTGTGCTAACAATAGTCAGAGTTGTATGGCATGAAAAAGTCCTTGAAGGCAGTAAGCTCAGGCAGCTGTAGACATCACTCATTTCCTGCCCTTCAAGAGCCAATGTCTTTATTCTCCTGTTTCTCTCTATCTTGACAACAATTGTTTCAAATGTTTGGTCTGGGTTTTGGCTGTTTCCATTGGAAGGGTCAATATGGTTGAGTTCATCTTGGCCAGAAGCTGAAGTCTCTCTTATATTATTATTATCTTTTTTTAATCTGTGTTCTCAAGAATCCTAGGCGGTCACCCACACATGAGATGGACCCACGAGGTACCCAGCAAGGCCACATATATGTGAAGACGGTCTCTGGAAGTGAGGAACCCCTGCCTGACACTTACCGTCCTCCTGAAGAAATAGAGAGAAGGAGAGGGCTGTGGTGGCTTGTACCAAGACTGAGCCTAGACTGACATAGCTTTGATAGACAGCTGACTCGGAACTGGAACAGGGCTGACAACCCCAGGATCTGTGCTTAGGAACCATGCTTGGAGAGGCAAGAAGCCAGTTGCCTCCCTTTCCACATACATTTCATTTATAGATCTGAGGTGTATCTGGGTTGATTTCCTCATTAGGGGGATGGGGCAGTTTAAGGTGAATTCAACCTTGGACCTTGCAGTTTAATCATCAGTACAACCCAGGTGAGTTGCTACCCATTCAGATGAGCCCCCTTGGTCCTGTTTCTTAATCCAGAGACGTTAGCTTTGGGGAAATTGGTGTGGCTTCTGAGCGTCCTGCCTTCTCCTCTGCCTACACCATCTCTTGTCTTAAAACAATAAATAAATAAATAAAGCAAACAAGTAAGCAAGCAAGCAAACTATGGGAGTTGGATTTTCTGGGTGCATTGGCTAAATCCAGCTTGCCACAAGTTAGGACATGAGTGACACAGAAGACATGTGAAAGAAGCCATTTCTTCCTTCTGAGTGTCTCAGACAGGGTAAAGCTCACATAGAGCCACACATGCCCCAACACAAGGAAGCATGTGGCTAGATCATGTCATACAGCAGAGAAAGGGAGGTGGACTTCTGAGTCAGACCTGCCACTGAACAGCCGTGAGAATTCTGGTGATGTCACCTACATTACCCAAGATTGTTTTGCTTCATTTGGGCATTGGAAAAATTACAAAAGGAACAAAGGCAAGTGTTAGTAGACACTAAACATACTCATTCACACTCCTTACCTGTTCTTCCCACCTCTTCCCAGTCCACTTATCTAATGAAGCCAAGCGATTGCTCCACAGCATTTGTTACCCATAGTTACAAAGTCAACAAGGAAGTATGGATTCCAAACTTTCTCCATGGCCTGCAATCCAAATTGTTGACATATAAAAAATAACTCTAGTTGTCACTAGTATTCTACTCACTTGAACTCTGAACATCATGTGTCCTTGTGTGCTAACCAAGTTTCAAATTCCAAGTACAGAAACCTGCATTACACATGACACATTAACCTCCAGGATGCTGACATCTCTGATGGTTCGTCTTCACTGTCAACTTATTGGGCTTAGAATCACCGTGGAAACACACTTCCAGGAAGACTTAACTGAACAAGAAGGTCTTCCTGAGTGTGAGAAGCACCATTCCATGGCCTGGGTTTCTGGACTGATTAGCACACGGAGTTCATCACTCTCTGCTTCCTGACTACAGATAACACATGTGACCAGCTGCTGCATGATCCTGCTGTCATGCCTTCTCAGTGGTGATGGACTGCACCCCCAAATTGTGAGCCAAAATAAACCTTACCACCCTCAAGTTGATTTTATAAGGCACTTAATCATAACAATGAGAAGTACCAAATATGAAACTGATGTTCATGTTTTAGTGGCTTTCTTTGCAATGCGGCGTTTTGTTTAGTATCATAAAGAAAAGATGTTTGTGAGGGAGAGAGATAGAGGACCAACAATGAACACGGGAACAAAGGAAGGGTTAGTATAGGCACACCTGCCAGGCCAGGGAGATCTACAGTAGACTTCACCAGCTTGGGCCAGGCCTTTGCTTTTTCTTCTCCAGATGGCTTTCAGGAGGACTGGTCACAGGTCCTTCTGATGCATGGCCACTGCCTTGGACAGGCCATGCTTCACAGTGGGAGAGGTGAGGGCTCAGGGCATCTCTAGGAACATCTACAATCTTCAAGAGCCATTTCGATATCCCAGGGAGCCATCTTTTCCCACACAGGGCCTCTGGATGTTCAGAAAGGATCCTATTTCTTGAACAAAGGGAATGGTTCTGTAAACCCAACGACCACCACCTACTGCCTTTCAAAGCCCCTCTAAAATTAAAAAAAAAAAAAGAATTGTGTTTCATGGGCCCAGCTCCTTAGAAAAGCTCATTTGGACATCTTCAAGCAGCCATGCCCAGGGATGCTTTTACATGGTAGGGAGGGACCTTGGACTCCCTGAGAACCTGATCAGACTGTATCCTTGTAGCTTCGATATATGGATATCAGCTCCAGTCCAGAATGTTGGTCATCTACAGCTTCAGTTCTGTGCTTATAAAATTGACCCTAGATGGCACTCGTGAAGCCTGATTGAAATATACGTATCACATGGGAGGTCCTGCCTCAACTTGGTATGCCAGACTTTGTTGACTCCCCAGGGAAGGCCTTACCCCCTTTGAGGAATGGATGGTGGGTTAAAAGACAGGAAAGGGGAGGGACATGAGAGAGGGGGAACTGGGGCTGGTATGTAAAATAAAAAATAATTTTTTAAATAAATAAAAAAGAAATACATATATCAGTAATCCTTATAATTGATAAAATGAGGCATGACTGTGTTTTAGATAATTTATTTTAATTCTACTTGCAATGGATTGCTTAGAATTTTTGTTTCAAATTGTTTTCATTAAAATTGCAAGATTCTGTATTTCTGTTGGTGCAAAAAACTCATTTTGTAATCAACTGAAAAATAAAAGGCCATTTGATGAACCTACAGAGCATCTGTGGTCCTTTTTCCCTGTTAAGAGTACCACTTTTCCCTTTCCTTTTTCTGCCTCTTTCCCTCGGATGCTGACTAGAACCTTAGTGTGTTTTCTCCCGCACTTTGGGCTCCTGGACGTTCTCTAAAGCCCCCTCCCTACCCTGTAACAGGACTCCTCTAGCAGGCAGTGAGGGATGCTGCAGCCAGAGAGGGACCTCCATGCTGGAAAAAACAGCAGTGTGGTCTTCCTTCCTTCTTTCCTCCATCTCTTCCTTCACCTACTGATACATTGAAAAGCTCTGGATTTGGGGGATTAGTCGGGCCTCTCTCTGTTTTACCAGCTGGCCTGTTGCAGAGGAAATTAGGCTCTTCTGAGTAATTCCACAAAGCACACAGGTAGCAGAGCTCTGTGATGCTGGCTCTATAAGCAACTCCACAGAAGGGGTTCTTCTGAGAAGGAAACGTAGTCTTAAAAGTACAATTATTCCTCCTACCTCCTTAGCAAGGCTTGAAGTGAAACTACCTTACAAGGGGTTGGTTTCTTGGACAAGTGATTGGCAGGCCCAGATGGATTATCTTGGTCCCTTGTGGGCATTGGTTCTGTTTGGTCTGTGCCCTCCTGGAGGAAGCAGGGGGGGGGAGAAGGGTGAGGCATGGTCCACTGGCTTCCTTGGCATGGGAGCCCTGAGATGAAGGCATCTTCATCTTCCCCGGTGGAAAGGGAGCCTTTCCTGCTGTGGATTAGGAAATTGCTTTTGAGGCCAAGAGAGAGCAGTGAGAACTAATTCCTGGTATAGCTCAGTGCTGGCCAGGGAGGGGACCTGCTCCGAGTCAGGAGCCAGCACCTTGCCTCCTGGCACTCCTGAAGGGACCCACAGTCTCCTTGGGGACCTAGGATGCACTAATTTCACCCATGTGTCCCTTCAAAATCAATCACAAGTTCTTTCTCTTCCATGGCTCTATTTGTTTTTAGAAACATAATAACTGAAAGAAGCAAAGCAAACTTCAGCTTTTTGTTTGCTGTTTTTATTGGTGATATACAGAGATCCAGACAGGGGGTTAGGTGCGCTTTGATGCACTTCTTAAGTGAAGTACTAATTACAATGCCATTTTTACTGAAACAACAGACCATGAATTCTATGTAGCAGTGGGACAGACAGCCTGAGAACGTGACCCATGGCCATGTCCCGGTTTACCAAGCATCCAAAGTTGCTTTAGAATATTCTCTATGCACAGTATACATATGACCCATTTGCTGTTTGCATTCCAGAAGCCTAAAGGAGCCTAGACTTTCCTAAGCCATCTTTTGCTGACACACGGCACGGTTTGTCTAACCTGAAGGGAACAATGTGAACAACTCATTCTTAGGCATTTCTTTCCCATGGTTCAATGTAATCCAATCCCAGATGGGCAAAGATGTCTTCCTCACTGTCTGCTTCAAGAAACACCCTCTGGAAGCATAAGGAAAAACACACACACTCAGGAGTTTTCCTTCAGCATCTCAGCCCAGACACATCAGGCTGCCTTGTTAGAATAAGTAACAGCTGAAGCATCCAGCCCTGCTCCTGAATATAAAATGTCAGAGGAAGCCAGGGTGTGGGATGCAGAGGCAGGAGCCTGGGCCGCAGAGTGAGACCTTAACTCAAACAAACAAACAAGCAAACAAGCAAAGCCCTAGTTACTGCTTCCTGTAGTTTTGACACCTTTCCATCCAGGAAAATGACAGGTGTGGATTAAGGTATAATTGTGACAGTCTCCCCAGTCATAAAATGACACATGGATAGTTTCCCTATGAGTTTCTAATGTGTGTGTGTGTGTGTGTGTGTGTGTGTACACATATGTGTGGCAATGCATGTGCATTCATGTGTTATATGTGGAGGGCAGCAGTCAACACTGGATAATGTCCACCTCTAACATTTCACTTTGTTTTGGTTTTTCACTGAGCCAAGAGCTTGCAGTTGACTAGATTGGCCACCTAGCTCCAGGGATCTGCTTGTCTTGGCCTTGCCAATGGCTACAGGTATGGGTATGTCCACTACTCCTGGCTTTAATGTGGTGCTAATGATCAGAACTCAGGTCCTCATGCTTGCTCAGCAGGCACTTTACCAATAGAACCATCTCCCCCAGCCCTACTGGTCTCTTCTATTTAAAAAATGTCTATGTATATGGAAATTTAACCATGCATATGTCTATATGCCATATTGATGCCTGGTGCCTGAGAAGGCCAGAAAAGGGTGCTGGGAATCAAACCAGACCCTCTGTAAGAGCAGCAAGTGCTGTCACTCACTGAGCCATTGTCCCAGCCTAGACTCCTATCCTTAACCATAACTGTTCTCTGGAACCACTGATGGGGTTTTTCTTTTCTTTTCTTTTTTCCCCCAATAAAATACAATGAAGCTTGAGTGGCACTCCAGTCCAATGAAATCATAGGCTCCAGAGAGGTCATGTTGTCGATCCATTTAAAGTTCTAGGTTATTCTAACGTGCAGCAGAGGGGCAAGCTGCTAGTAATGGCAGGCTCCTGTATGTGCTGCCTTCTCTACAGCCTTCCATACCTGTCCATAGGCCCCAGCCTCCAGCTTCCACCCCATGATCTCTTTAGGACCTTTTCCCCTTGAGTACCTTCTAATACATAGCACAGTCCTGGGTCCAGAGCTGACACTTGTTGAATTATTGATTACATGTGCACTTGTAAGCCTTCCTGAACTGAACCCTGTGGCTCTGCCCCCACCTCCACAATCAGCTTCTGAGACTATTCTGCCAGTACCCACTCTCTCCTCCTCTGTGAGAAGTATCTTGATTTTCTATGATGATTCCCTTATCCCTCCATCCATGAAGATGTACACAACCAAAGCCTGGCCAATCAGAACTAT